CTGCAGTGGAAAGTACTGCAGGCACGACGATGTTTGACTAATGAAACTTGGATGTTTTTGTATTTCTACATTCGTTGGCGGTGGCTTTCCCCCAAAGAGAAAGAAAGCAGTTACAAGGAACGTAGGAGTAGAATAATATTGCTGTTTCCATACTCCTGAACTGTCGTGCAGGTAGAAGAACGTGAAAATAATCATGCAAGTGAGCGGTGAGAAGACAAGAAAAGAGGCAAGGGTTAAACCATTCACAATAAGGAAAACATAACTCCCATGCAACATAGGAGAGGTCCAGCGAATGGCAAGGGAAGTTACTCTAATCCTGGGCCTGGAAACGGGAACAGCACCAAAGCAACTAATCAGGGGTGCTTCCTTCAAAGTCAGAGTGCATCTGCCTGAGAGGGGAAGAATGAATAGTCTGCATACTAATGAACCACATCTGTAACACGGGTGTGGATGCAAAATTAAGGTTCTGAAAAATAAGCCAGATCTGTAAAATATGTGCACACACAAAACTCGAGTTCTAGTGGCTCTCTATAGCAGTTAGTACCAGATGGCCAAACCATCTGTTGCTCTTTATAATAACTGACACAAAGACTGTACGCACAGCATATACAAACAACATGTATGTTTTATGTCCATATGTTTTTAGTCACATTGCAACTGTCCGGTAAAATCCAGGGTAGACACTTAAAACTAGTTTTATAATGCATACAACATGCATACTGAGTTTTGTTTTTCTAAGACTGCAATGGCACATGAGCCTTTTTAACTTCTTATTTTTCAGTTACAGTTGATTTTGTTGTTGTGATGGCCAAAAGCAATGCAATCTTACCTTGTTTTATTGTATGAAATATAATCACCATTATCTCAATCAATCTCTTATCAAAATCACCTCTCATCTCATTTTCATATATACCTTGAAATACTCACTGTTCAGCAGAACACATACTTCGAGACTGTCCGAAGTATGACACATTATGTCAAGCTTTTGTTTTAGCCAAAGGAACAACAAGGAAAAGTAAACTTTACAGACTACGGAGTCGCCGTGGCAGAGCGGCTAGACGCGCGCCACAGATCTGAAGGTCGTGGATTCGCTTCCTGGAGGAGCTGGACTTTTCTTTAAAAATGACCTTGGCTCCCAGGTCGACCCAGCCTTGAGTGGGTACTGGGTGCAGTCCCGGGAAGTAGAGGCGGCTCACGTGATGCTGACCACATCACCCATCTTGTGCTGTTGGTCTATAAAGTATAGGTCTAGCCCTGTATGCCTAAAGGTGTGGAAAATGGTCCTTTACTTTACTAAACTTTACAGACCACTGTCTTCGTGTTGATTGACAAGTAAAAATGTAATGTTTCAAATTGTGCTAAGGGGAGTTGGAAACAGGGAGAACAACTAAGGCAATTAATAAACTACAAACATTCATTAACTGATGCCTACGCAGAATAGAGGATATTAAATAAATAGTATGACAGATTCGCTCATGTTGAGCTTTTGGAGAGAACTGAAGAAGTTCCAGTGGACCAAGAGGTGAAACAAAAGATGCTGACATTAGATAGGACACACGTTGAGAAAAGTTGAGAACCATATAACTAGAATGTCTCTGCACTGGAACCCACAGGGGCATAGTAATAAAGGAAGACCAAAAAATACATGAAGAAGGGAGCTAGAGAGTGAAGTTAAAAAGATAGGCAGGATACTGGGAGAGCTGCATGCGATAGCGAAGGAGAGAATGAGTTGGCAGTGCATCTCAAACTGTCCCTACCCACAATGCTTAATGGCAGAAGTGGATACTGATGATGTATAGGCCCTGGGCTCCATTGTGAGTTCGAAAGGCAAGAAGAAGAAGAAGAATAGGGACGCATGAGAATCACAACTCATGGTGATGGCAAGTATGACTAGCAAGACCTGATCACATTAACCCTCAGAATGCTAAAAAGTTGGAACTGGGTCATCACCTCATAGAAATTTTTTTTTAATCCATAAAAGAAAAAAAAAATTACAATTTGCTTTATCTGCAAACAAGTTTATTACGTTAATTTTAAAAGCTTTTTGTCTTCAAAATTTATCAATGGAATAATCAAGAAACATGAATGGAAGGAAGCCTCCAGTGCCTAAAACATATAGGGATTGTGTGGCTCATGCCATGACCCCATGACCTCTATCACTGGGGCTTATTGGCAAATTTGATTCCAAATTGGCTGTAAAATAAGCCATTTGATTCAAAAGGAAATCTTGTAAATGCTATTTTTAGGAAATGTATTTACAAGCCTTCTAAACAATGTGCAGGCATGAAAAGAACCAATCACATTGAGTCTCAGAAAGAGGTCATTACAGACAGGCCGGTTTTGGGGACATTTACGAGGAAGCGGACCCTACCAGATGTGCCGGGTTTAGGGCTTCTCCAGGCGAAAGAGTTAGAAAAGTCTTCCCCGTTTAGAATATGGGATTTAGGACTACTGTTACCATCACAGGAATTCAAGAGGCTTCTTTTCAGACAATCAGCTCATAACATACCTGCAATAAGTTTGTCCTTTATCTCTATGTGTTTTAAAAATATATCTCAAGAATATGAGCAACAAAAGGCCAACTAGGGGGTTTCAGTGATTTATGTGTCTGAGTGGTCTCTGTGGCAAAGCCATTAAGCTCTGAAGGTTGTGGGTTTGTATGAGTTGCAATTTTTATGGACAATGAGGATCATCACCAGAGCTAAGCGGTAACGATCGCTTCAAAGTGAGACTGAGCCATAAAGGATTAAACCTTGTGCAATGAAGTCAGTTCTCTACATTTTAACCTTTAATGTGTTTTTGAAAAGTGCTAATCAAGAACAAGAAAAACAGGTGTAAGGGTAGAAGTGTTACAAAGTGTGTTTTAAAGTATGCATCAAGAATATAAGATACAGAAGGGTTGGCAGACAAATATTCCATCAACTGCACCTTCCTAATACAAGTGTAATACATGAAAACAGTTATGACACCACAAATGAAGAAAAGATGGACAAATACCCTTTTATTCATTCAATTACAAGTCATTTCCAAATTGTACACACAACATATGTAACTACAAACAAGGCTTCAGCATACACCATTAGTGTTCACTAACATACAAAACAGTACATGCTGTTTCTGCCCTCTATATCCCATCTGGAGTACAGGCTCTCAATCAACTCACACCATGTCATTCTACCCTACTGCATGCAGTTCACCCCACCCTTTTAACATCGCTCGCTAGGTACCTTTTCCATGTGTTTTTGTGTGTCTGCCTTTACTCCTCTGATCCCGTGGGTTCCAGTGTAAAGTACCCTAAAGTTATGCAAAGGGAATTAAACCAACGCACGTCTTAATGCACTGGAACTTGTTTGGTTATCTACTTAGGCTCTACATTAGTGATTCTATACCATTTAACTCCCTCCATTCTGCACAGGAATCATTTAAAGAATGTACAACAGTACTGACACCAAAGATTTTAATTCTCATTAATTTCCAAGTTGCTTTAAGATGCTTGCCTTTTTAAATCCCTATCGGTACCCTAATCTTTATCTACATTACTCCTAAATAGGTGATTGGCTCAATCTACGTGGCTACACAATCCTCTCATCTTCTTCTACACTACAACCTAAATAGGACATAAGACTCCATCCACACAATCCTCTCATCTCCTTCTACATTATGGCCTCAATAGGCTACTGACAGTTGCTACACAACTATATTCCTAATCCTGTGCCAAAAGATGTTTGACAATCCTGTGCCACAAGATGTTTGACAATCCTGTGCCAAAAGATGTTTGACAAGGAAGGACTATCAAATGATAAATTTGAAAACAAAATTGCTCAACATAACCTGAACCACAGCAAATTTTGGAGTGTGTCTTTGCCTTCTGCTCTGAAAATTGTTATTCAGCTTTCCAGCCTACAACGAATACAAGAAAATGTCCTGGAAAGTCAAGGTGGCTGGTGCATTGATGATCAAATTAACCCAGTGAGTGCCCAATGATCTATATAACAAATATGAACAGCATCATATGCGTAAAGGGTCCTTTATTTAATTTAGTTTCTTCGGTGAAAGATGCCAACTTGGCCATCTGAGAAAAGTTAGAAATGATATCGATATCAGACAGATTAGGAACACCATGCAGCAAATTCATTGAGAAACAGAAGATGAAATGGTTTGGTCATCTAGTAAGAATGCAGACAGAATTACTACCAATGCAGTCAGTACACATGAACAGATCTACAGTGAAAGCAAGAGGCCGCCCAAGGAGAAGATTGGTGACTTTAAAGAGTTTTTATATCAACATGGAATGACAATAGCCACTGCTGGCCATCAAGCAATGGATCTTAAACTGTCCCTCTCCACAACACTTAATGGCAGAAGTGGAAATTAATGATGATGGTGATGACTTTCTTTAATCTCACAAGTCCAGGATATTTGGGAGATACCCCCTGGAGGATGTCGCTGCTGCTGTGGAATGTCATGCTTTGTGTGATGCTCAGAGCATGCACAAAACCAATCTGCAGCAGGTGACTACAACATTTTCCTTTCAGCAGGAGAGCCAGACACTGATCACATCACAGGCTGGTGTGAGAACAGACCCCAAATGACCCATAGCAAACATGCCAAAATAATAAACACGAGAGTGCCACTCTCATACCTGTCATCCAAAAAAAAAAACATATTTTTTAAACCACCCCAATCAGAAATCATAACACTCTTTACCAATCTTGCAGGCTTTCCCAACATTTTCTACCAACGGTCTCAATCTTCTAGGTTGTCAATTTTCTCAATCTACCAGGTTGATGCAATATTTGCTACTAATTTTCTCAATCTTCCAGGTTGTTGCAATATTCTTCATACCTTCTCTTATCATAACTTTACTACAATGATTCAATGTCAAATTTAAACATAAAAACGCTCATGAATATGTTAAGTTACAGAGACTATCCAAGCGTACAAGAAGTCACAGACTCAGTAACCATTTTGCTGATCATCTGCTACTGTCATCACAGGTGTCACTGCTGAATGGCATGCTGCTCCTGCTGGTTCTTGCAGTGTACCTGGTTAAACAGTCGATCCTTGATGACCTGGGACATGAGCCCATGCAGTACCTCCATTGTTGTCTTACACCTAAGTGACGAGAAAATAAGTAACTAATGTTACAAACCATAAACTGGGTAACCAAAAAAAAAATGTCATGAACTAAATACTTTGACTTCTTTCTATATTTCGTGTGAGTTCTAGGGTTTGACTTCTTACTATCTTCCGAGGGAGTTATAGGGTTTGACTTCTTGTTATCTTTCATGTGAGTTCTGGGGCCCCAGTGAGGAGAAAAAAGAAGAGACAAACTACCTAACAAGCATGTTAATAGTAAGGCAACAGTGATATCTAGATGTATGTACTTAATCCGTTCTTGATCCTTGGATGTATACTACACAGTATGTAAAACAAACAAATTTCCCCCACAATCCATAATCTGCTCCCAAATTGTTTTTTCTTAATTGCTTTTGGCATCTTATTAGTGGATGTATTATAAAATAATCTAGATACTGCCTAATACTAAAATAAACAAAGACAAAACCAATCAGATGAAATAAATAACAAATGTAACCTCACTTTGCCTTTTCGGGAAGAGTTGAGCACCTACTAGGATGGTATCTAGAAAGGAGACGTTATTGTTATTGAGTCCCCTCCCTTCCCAAAAATCTTTAGGAGTATTTTTTTCTGTCTCTTTTTTACTACCTGGAGCTGGCTGAGGCTCACCATGTTTGACTTTTACTAAAAAAACCTTTGCTTCTGCCTGCCAGGATGTTTTAGACATGTGACACTGTCTAGTCATTCCAGACAATGCTGTTACGGCTTGTTTGGCTTTGCTGGGGTGATACTTCTCTGTAAAGTCACTGACATCTATATATGGGTTTGTCTCTAGAGAGGTGAACAAAGACAGCGTGTTGTGCCGTGACAAATTCTCACTCATTTAAGTTTGTATTCCAAACAAAGGTCGTATACCAAGCAGAAGTATTCCCATCTAAGCAGGACGTATAACAAGTTAAACACATATCACAAGAGACGTATACTGAGGTACTTCTGATTATGGCTGAATACATCACAATGAAAAACCAATATAGAAGTAAAAAATAATAGCTTTGGACAAGTGAAGACATAAAAGGGGCACAGGAAAACCATGAGGAAGCCACCTGTTGTTATCAACCAGAACAGAATGGGAGTTGTTAGCGTAAAACAATTGGAGACACTCAGGGGGAGATTTGAGCACTTATGGTCATGTCCAATGAAGAAGATCTTTAAATGAACAACGAACAAAAGACATAAACGAGAAGAGAGAAATGGAAAGGGGGGGGGGGGGGGAAGAGATTCAACATGAGATACTAACCTGTTCACACAGAGATTAAATCCACAAGATTGTTCACATACCTACACTACAGTGACATTCAAACAGAACATAGATGCACAGAGAATGATTCAATTAAAAAAATTAAATGAGCAGATAATGAAATAGAACAGAAACAGGAGGAGAAAACAAAAACAAAGTATAAGCTGGGTTAGGATACAACGGAGTAGCAGCAGCAGCTGGGGGAGGATACAATGAAGCAGCAACAGCTGGGGGAGGATACAATGAAGTATCAGCAGCAGCTCGGGGAGGATACAATGAAGTAGCAGCAGCAGCAGCTGGAGGAAGATACAATGGAGTAGCAGCAGCAGCAGCTGGGAGAGGATACAATGAAGTAGTAGCAGCAACAAGGGGAGGATACATTGAAGTAGCAGCAGCAACAAAAGGAGGATACATTGAAGTAGCAGCAGCAACACAGGGAGGATACATTGAAGTAGCAGCAGCAACAAGGGGAGGATACACTAAAGTAGCAGCAGCAAAAAGGGGAGGATACATTGAAGTAGCAGCAGCAACACGGGAAGGATACACTGAAGTAGCAGCAGCAACAAGGGGAGGATACATTGAAGTAGCAGCAGCAACAAGGGGAGGATTCATTGAAGTAGCAGCAGCAGCTGGGGGAGGATACAATGAAGTAGCAGCAGCTGGGGAGGATACACAGAAGTAGCAGCAGCAGCTGGGGGAGGTTACAATGGAGTAGCAGCAGCTGGGGGGAGGATACAATGGAGTTGCAGCAGCAGCTAGGGGAAGACATAATAAAACAGAAATAGTGACTGGAAGATGAAACGAAACAGAAATTAAAATAGAAGGCAAAGGAGATGAAGGAAAAGTTCTGAAAGAAAAGGTACAGGAGATGAAGGGGAAGGTACCAACGAATCAGCAGGTTTGGAAGATGAAGAAAAAAGGACCTTAAGTAGAAACTACTTGACGATCGATAAGGTATAAGTGACGAAGAAGAAGGAGCAGACAACAACTGAGAATACGTCAAATCTGATAGTTGTTTTTTTTTAAACACTAACCCATCTTTGCTAGCTTTGGTTAACTTGTCCTCTGTCTTCTTGTCCTGTGCATCTGAACCTATGAGCCCACCCCTGCCAAGCTGTGACTCTGACTGTTCCAGCTTGTCTGACAGATCAAATACCATCCCAGTCGTGTAGTCAGCATTCTGCAACCACAAAGGGCATCATTTAAAACTAAAGGGGGGGAGGATGGGAAATTTCATGATCCTTGAGCATTACAGTTTAATTTTCAGCACTAGTCAGATTTCTGTAATCCTTTAGATTTAGGTTTAGACAACAGATCAACACAAGGGTAGTAACCCATGGTTTAAACAACAGATCAACACAAGGGTAGTAACCCATGGTTTAAACAACAGATCAACACAAGGGTAGTAGCCCATGGTTTAAACAACAGATCAACACAAGGGTAGTAACCCATGGTTTAAACAACAGATCAACACAAGGGTAGTAACCCATGGTTTAAACAACAGATCAACACAAGGGTAGTAACCCATGGTTTAAACAACAGATCAACACAAGGGTAGTAATCCATAAGTGCTCCATTCTACTTCTAACTCAAGCCTGGGTCAGAAGAATCTTGGCACAGTGCACGAACTCCGTAACACCGGTGAGGCTCCTGAAATATTTTGGGTACATTTTTAACTCTAAATTTTTCCGGGCAGCATTGTTAGGCTACTCTTTTCGATTTTCAACTGCCAAGGGATTTTTTTAATGTGCGCAGTAAAACACAGGGCCGTCCAATCTTACTACCCAGAGACCAGGGGAACCCTTTTCAGGGGTTCTGTTGACACAGCCACATCAGTGTCACAATGATAAACACATTATTTTGGCCCAGAGTTTTCTCGTTCAGTTTGTTTACCCATAAGAAAGGTTACTGCCTTTTTTCTTTAGGCCCCTATCCTTTGACCTGTCCAGCATGGGAGCCTATGAGCAGCTAAGTGACCATCAGCAGTTCTTTGTGTCACTGGAACCCCTCCTTCTGCCCCCCTCCCCCCACCCCTTCTCCCCCCTGGACAGGGACCTGAAGGCCTAATAACTGCAGATTTAAAAACAAAACCCATTCTTGAGGTCAGAACAATAAGACAAATCCCAGATACTGCACATATAATTCTGCACGCTTTGGTTCCAAAATGCGTTGGTGTTATCTTCCTTCTGAAGTAAACAAGGCAGGCCGAGCGAGGGATCATGTTGAACTGACAATACATACTCTCTACAATACTGCCCAGGCTTTGTGCTGTGGAAAGGAGGAAACTTCATCCCTAGCCTTCCATCATCATGGGCTATGATTCCTATGCCTCCCTTTAGTACCATACAAAACTATCGCCTCGAACAGTGGTTCTGAACCCCTTTGGGGGTCGAACGACCCTTTCACAGGGGTCACCTGAGACCATAAGAAAACACATACTCACTGAAGTTATGAAGTAGTAGCAACAACAATAATTTTATGACTGGGGTCACCAAAACATGAAGAACTGTATTAAAGGGTCGCGGCATTAGTAAGGTTGAGAACCACTGGTCTAGAGAGACAGAAAAGTACCAACAACAAACAGACAATATTCTACGTCTTGAGTCATCAGTCAACAAAAAATAATATAACTTACAGTGAGAAGGCTTGAGGAACTAAGGGTGTTAACCCAGTATTTGTTCCACAGGGATTCTAATAGTCGTCTATCCATGGCAGATTTGAAGTAGGACATATCCAGCGGATAGTAACTGTGAATATGAACATATACAGATAGTAACCATGACATATTTGAAGTAAGACATATCATGCGGATAGTTACTGTGAATATGAACACACACACATAATTAAACATGGCAAATTTGAAGTAGAACATATCCAGAGGAAAGTAACTGTGAATATAAACATACACATATAAATAAACATAGTAGATTTGAAGTAGGACATATCCTGCAGATAGTAACTGTGAATATGAACATACTAATATAAGTAAACATGGCAGATTTCTTCTTCTTCTTTGCATTCGGTTTTGTATACTCAGGTGAGACCAACAAGTGTGATGATTCTATGTAATTACATGTCAGATTTGCAGTAGGACATATCCTGCGGACAGTAACTGTGAACATACACATATGAGTAAACAGTCTTCTCTGGACAACCGTTGGTGGGCTAGGATCCCTTTGACATAACGTGGTCAAGACACCTCCTGCCTTATGATCTTTTTCTGCTTTTGCCATTAAAAAAAGGATGGTTGGCACATTGTGCTGTGGTTTACAGCTAGTTTGTGACATCTGCACCTTTCGATCCAACACATACGATTTCCACAAATCCTTAGTCACTTTTTACACAACGTTTGTTAAGGAGCAGTGGGGCTATTCTCCACAACAGCCATTTTCATATGTTAATTAGGTCCATGTTGCAACATACGTATTTAAGAAATGCATATACAGTTAGGCCTTACTGCATTGATTGCAATGATAATATAGTTGCTAAGGGATTAGTTAAAACAAAATAGTTATTCATAAAATGAAAACATTTAGTAATTTTAACCCTACTGCGAATGAGGTTGCTTTTCAGCGATGTTGCCTGGTCTTGCAGTGTGTTTAAGGAGGCATGCACCGTATGGTTTGCTAGATCAAATTGTGTGTGTTTTGCTGACTGAGGACACTGTGTATGGCTACGGCATTCACTTGAAGTATCCAGCATATGTGACTCAGTTTGTGACTGGAATCACTGGCATAGGCAGTTGAGCAATTATGGGCCAAGCTTGTTTGTTGTGATGCCGGAACGACTAACTAGATATTTTCTGGAACGCAGCTTAGAGTCCATCTTGTGTCAGATTAAACTATAAATGTTAACATTTCCGCTTACTGACATACATATAGGCTTTACTGAGGTATCATTGGATGGGATATTTTAATCCAGCTGTGATGGTTTCATAAGTTAAAAACCCTAAGATACAAAACTTCACTAGTATCCCTTCAGAACTGGCTTATTTGTATGCAGACTGTTGGTTCCTCTGCTCTGAGGCAGATGCACGCCGACTTTGAAGGAAACTACCCTGATCAGTCACCTGTGTGACAGACTTGTTAGGGAAGCAGTAGATAAATCTCCCCCACCCCTCAGAATGGGGCCCAGAACCCACACAGGGAATAAAAGGAAAATAATAACCCTCATTATGTAAGAAGAAGTGATGAGTCGCTGCATGAAAAGAATTTGATGACAAAACTTACGCCTTGCAGTGGACACCAAAGTCTTCGATCTTGTTCAGGGGAATGGACTGATACTCTGATGGGTGCTCATCTGGCGGTTTATAGCCCTGGAGAGATGTAAAAATTGAGCTTCACAAAGAGCTAACATTTCTTATACATTCAGAAAATATCTCTTATGCATTTATAATGACAAAAAATTAAATGGTCAGGCCATCTAGTCAGAATGCAGCCAGGCCAAACTGCATATGATACTTTTGTTTTTACAGTAGAACATCTGGGAGAAAGGCGAGAGGAAGACCAAGAAAGAAATGGATAAATGGTGTAGCCAAAACCTGCAAAAAGAATGACCAATTTTCTTCTTCTTATTCTGTCTGCATTTAAAAGGGTAGTTTGCACACTGTTGTGGTTTACCGCTAGGCTACAATATCTACACCTATCAGCTCAACACATACACAGGGTTCATAGCCAAATTTACCAATCAATTTCAAGGCTTTTCAAGGTCTCCTTAGTTTTCTTCAAGGTTGTCTCTGTGTAATACTGAAACAAGATTTCTGCCTTGTTCAAGGATGTACCGAGCACACAATGTACTAAATTCGTGCCACATGTGTTGATATACCAGCACATATATCCTCATCATGTAGCATTTCCTTTGTCCTGAAAACAAAACTCGGTCTCTCACCAGCTCTCCCGTCTCATGTACTTTTTTAAACTCAAGGAGTCACTTATATCCTGTGCCCATCTTCGTGTTGGTCGGCCCCTGAGCTTGAGATAGTGTTTGAACATTTGTTTAAGACTTGGTGGTAGAGGGCAGCAAACTGAAGTCCTGTCTGTTCTGGACTTGGTACCTGAAATGGTTAGGAGGAGAGAGAGAGAGAGTCATGCAGAGAGGGAGGAAGACACATGCTGAGGTAGACTGGGAGAGACAGTGTAAAGATGGACAGATGAAGGTAGAGGAAAGAAGGAAAAGGAGTCTGGGGAAGGATGAAAAAACGAGAGGGAGGGATGGAGACATGAGGGAAAGTGGGGAAGGGATAGCGAAAGACAGAGAGGGAGACAAATACAGAAAGAGGGATTGCAGATACAGAGATGGGCAGATAAAGAGAGAAGGAAGAAGGGAACGAAACAGAGATATGGAAGGAGGAAAATATGTCAAAGAGAGTTGAAGGAAGGGAGACAGAGGGAGAGAGAACGGACAGGGGGAGAAGCAGATGCAAGCAGCGAGAGATGTAGACATAAAGGAGAGAGAGACAAAGGGACAGCATCGAGAGGCAACCAGACAGAGGGAGAGAACCAAAGAAAGAGAAAAAAGGCAGAGCAGGAGAATGGGAGGCAGGTATACAAAGAGGAAGTGATGAAGGGAGGCAAACAGACATAAAGCAAGAGAGAGAGAGAGAGAGAGAGAGAGAGAGAGAGAGAGGGAGAGATGGGTAAGGAAGGTAGTGACAAACACAGATTAAGAGAGAGGGACAGGAAGAGAGACAAGACACATCAAAAAAAAAAAAAAAAAAGCCTCGTGCTGAAACCCCACCCACTCCCCCGACACAATTTCAAGTGTAGTGGACACAACCACTAGGAAAAGATAGTTATGGGGCAAAAAACATATGTAGATGAACCAGGAAAAAAAAAAGGGGGGGGGGGGGAGAGAATGAGAGAGGCGAGAGGGGAAGGAAATCTAGAGAAAAGGAGAAGACAGGATGGAGAGGAGACAAAGAAGAGATGGGACAGGAGAAAGAGCAAGAGAGAACAGATTTACGACGATTTCATTGGGGCTGTGAAAATTCACGGCTTCTCAAGGTCAGAATGTCTTTTTCAAGCTGAAAATCACTATTCTGGGTCCAAGAGAAAAAATCACGGTCAATTCAAGACTTCCCTGTCCACTACGAACCCTGCATACAGCAAATTCCTGATTACTGCATGCATATACATAGTGCCTGTTGTTTTGAGTGGAATCTGATCTGAGAAGCAAATCTTAAATAAATTCAAACACACTGATCACTGGGTTACAGAGATGCATAACTAGATTTGAGCTCTCCCAGTGCAAGAGGAATGACTAATAAGATCTATTGGTCAAAATATGCACAGACATGCATTTGCAGACATGTATACATTCATAACTATACAATTAATTTTGATCTCCTCATCCAGGTTTCTAGGAGCCATATTTGGTGTGTGTGTGTGGGGGGGGGGGGGGGGGGGGGGGGGGGGGGGTGGGAAAAGGAAAATGTGGATCAAAACATGGAAACGGATGGTAGATAGGAAAATTTTAAAATGTAAAACAAAGTGGGATATCCTATGAAGAAAAGCCGCAGACCAGCAGCAATGGAGATCACCTGTGAATGCCTTATGTGTCAACAGCAACTTGAAGAGGACAAAGATAAGGAGTTTATGAAAGTAATCACCTTGGGGTATGTTCTGAAAGCACGATTGTTAAAAAGGAATCACCTTGGGGTATGTTCTGAAAGCACCAATACTAAAAATGAATCACCTTGGGGTATGTTCTGAAAGCACCAATACTAAAAAGGAATCACCTTGGGGTATGTTCTGAAAGCACCAATACTAAAAAGGAATCACCTTGGGGTATGTTCTGAAAGCACCAATACTAAAAAGGACTCACCTTGGGGTATGTCCTGAAAGCACCAATGTTAACTTTCCCGGCTGATATTGTGCGGACAGGATCAATCTGGAGAGGAACATTTGTCTCGAATTATTTATATCATTCAACACAATGTTTCCCCGTAGTGAATTTAAATCATGTGGACACCAACAATACATATGGCTCAGTCTCTCTTTGCAAGACAGATAGCCACCTACCGAGAGTGCTGCACAGAGCAAGAACTTCACAGCTCCGGCCATGATCCCCAGGGATCCTCAGCCACCTACCGAGAGTGCCCACAGAGCAAAAACTCAACAGCTCCGGCCATGATCCCCAGGGATCTTCAGCCACCTACCGAGAGTGCTGCACAGAGCAAGAACTCCACAGCTCCGGCCATGATCCCCAGGGATCTTCCTAAAAATTGCACTTGTGAACTGAACGGCGCAGCTATGAAACAAAACTAAGAACTTCAGAGCGCGAGGCAAACGGCTTGACCCTTTTCCCAGGGAGACCAAAGAACATTCACTACAATCATCATCATGTGCCTTGATGATAAAGCATCAGCTGTCATGATTTCCCCCTATCTCAAACAATCACCATAACCATGGATCAGGCCTCTGTTCTTGTCTCACCCCATCCATATGGCCAAACCATTCAAGTATTTATCTTTTTACCTTGCCGTTGTTCTCTTTCCTTCCGTCCTGCTAGTCGTTAGTGCTCCAGTCCATTCCTCCTTATAACATGACCAAATAACACTGTCTATATTCAATATCGCTAATAAGTTTACGTTACTACAATGGCCTACAAGTGGCAGATTTATTAACACAAAACATTTACCACAATGGCAAAAAAATGTCCAATTTATTAAAACAAAACATTTACCACAATGGCTAAAATATGTCCAATTTATTAAAACAAAACACTTACTACAATGGCTAAAATATTTCCAATTTATTAAAACAAAACACTTACTACAATGGCTAAAAAATGTCCAATTTATTAAAACAAAACATTTACCACAATGGCTAAAAAATGTCAAATTTATTAAAACAAAACATTTACTACAATGGCTAAAAAATATCCAATTTATAAAGACTTACTACAATGGCTACAAAATATCCAATTTATAAAGACTTACTACAATGGCTACAAAATATCCAATTTATAAAGCACTTACTACAATGGCTACAAAATATCCAATTTATAAAGACTTACTACAATGGCTACAAAATATCCAATTTATAAAGACTTACTACAATGGCTACAAAATATCCAATTTATAAACACTTACTACAATGGCTACAAAATATCCAATTTATAAAGACTTACTACAATGGCTACAAAATATCCAATTTATAAAGACTTACTACAATGGCTACAAAATATCCAATTTATTAACACTTACTACAATGGCTACAAAATATCCAATTTATAAAGACTTACTACAATGGCTACAAAATATCCAATTTATTAACACTTACTACAATGGCTACAAAATATCCAATTTATAAAGACTTACTACAATGGCTACAAAATATCCAATTTATTAAACACTTACTACAATGGCTACAAAAGGCTCCTGAAACTGCTGGTTCAGCATCTGTGTGGAGACATCAATGCCCGACAACCAACATCCATACCCTGGGTGACTATGGTACCAGCCAATTGCATTCTCCAGTCTCTTCACCTGTGCACAGTGTGAGAAATACATAGGAAACGAGATTAATCTTATGAAGCATTTAAGGAAATAATAGGATCACAACAGACCCAAACTACTGTATTGTGATGAACCATATGTCAAAAATTCACAAAATAAGAAACCCTATCATGACTGACACAATGCAAGAGGTTCTGATAAAGTTTTGGCAACTAAATAAACAGTGGAAAAGTCTTAAGTGACATAGTCATTCCAATTACTAAGTCATTTCAAATACATACATTACTGGTTAAAACATCTAAGAGAATGCAAACTGTAGACTTTGAACTAGATCTAGGGTCAAGATGACTGTCGCGTGCGAATGTGCACTAGAACGCACCAGTACTGAGTGAGCAAATAAGACGTCAAAACAATACGTAACGTTGTGAAGGTATTGTTGTCAAAGGCAGTTGATGTTGACAGCCCGAAGAAGACGGACGCGTGGATCCTTGAGGACGCTTTACCCCGGGATTCCACGGAAGCAGACGTTGTGTACAGTTGGATCCTTTAGGACGTTTTACCCAGGGACTCCACTGTAGACCTCAGCAGGAAGCTGGTAAATTGTCACAGTCCGGCAGTAAGCCGGTATACTTTCATTGCTTAATTCAGACTGCGGAACCGAAGACAAAGATGACTGTGTGGATCTCAAGGTCGGACTGCGACCTATCGTGAGGACATATCAGTCCATGGATGTACGAGCAGGCTTTTGTTGATGTGCTTGATTATTAATTGCATATTTTATCCTTGTGTTGATCATTGCCATTTGTCAATACACAAATAGAACTTTAAAGAGAGTTCTCGTTCCGCTACGTTTGGAAGCTTCAGCATTCATCATGTTGTGTTACTCTTGGCCAGTGGCATATTAAGTGTTGATGCAATTTGTTACATTGCGACACCCCTAGTTACCTTTGGTACGCCGCACATCACCACGCAGCCTTTACAGCACGTCACACTGTAGGCCAAGCTGTCGCTCGTCACAATGAAGTTGACGCACGTCACAATGACAATATAAAATTTTTTTTTTAAAGCAGGTGCTTTCAACAACAGCAATTTTGAACAAGAAATACTGAGCTGTACACTAACACTTTGTCAACAAAAACTCACTTAAGAAGAACAATCAGTTAACATTAAAAAAACTGTGGCCACAGCAGGGATTTATTACTGTTTTAGTCCCCAGTTAACATGCATTTTTTTAACAACAAACTTCATTTCTGTTCCTTTTAGAATTCGTGTTAATGAGGGTTTACTGTATATCATCATAAGATTTTTTGGTACACATAATGAAATGTATCCCATCACGTCGGGTGTCAGACTTAGTGGCGGCTCCCTATGTTGTAGGGTGTAAGAATATGTGTTTCTCTGCCTTCGCCGTCTAAACACACAGTGCAGAAAACTGGTCCCATTCATTTGAGGCCTGATACAAAAGTGTGGAGTTCTCTTTCGTGGGAGGCGACATTAAGAGACTCTTGTTCTGTGTGTGTAAGTTATATAAATCCTATCTGATATATGCAAGTGAATCATGGACAGTTAGTCGATTAGTTAAACATTTTTTAGAAGCTGTGGAGATGTGGTTTTATACAAAAGAGTAATGAGAATGTCTTGAAAGAAGCTGACTCACGAAGAGAACTGATTACCCTCATCAGAAAGAAAAAAATCTACATTCTTTGGTCATGTGAAGAGATAGAGAAAAGTGTAGTTCATCATAATAGTAGGAAAGTTGGAGAAGAGGCAGAAGGAGACAGAGAGAACAGATGCAGGACAGTCTGAAACCTTGGCAAGTAGGATCATCTGTGTCCGAGTTGATTGAAAGTACAAGAGACAGAAGTTTGTAGATGGACATGACTATCAATGCCACATGGCATGGACTTTGAGAACACAACATATGTATCAGAAATAGAACAGCAGTAAACGAGTTGGGTTATCTTCACGGCATTCCAGACACATCTACAAGTGTTCAGCGTCCCCCTTCAACAAATATATCAGCATTCCGAGGTTAACAGTGTCAGTACTATGCTGGTTAACAAGACTTCTTGTACTTCTGGTGTGCCTCTCATATCTGACTGTGCCCATCTGTATTCACAATTCCCCCAATTTCAGCAGTGATGTGGCCACACAGTGCCCCCATCCCCAAATCTTCCGACTGTCCTACCTCTCCAAAGGCATTAACAATATTGGCGCCTACATGAGACACAAAGACATAACTACTAACTTCACAAGACAATGACTTTAAGAATGGTAAGTATCATGATCAAATGCTCTGGACATGTGTCAAGACTATACCAAACAGTGAATCACAGACAGCCCTGCAGTGAATCACAGACAGCCCTGTCACTTAAACATAATGGAAATTGAGCCAGAGGTCGACCACGCAAGCTATGGATAGATGGAATATTCAGGACTGTAAATATCAGCATCTACGTAGCACATGCCAAGACTCTCACCCCATGCCTCTTCAAAACATGACACTGAAAAGCAATACAGGACTAAAGAGGAAGTACCATGAATGCAGTACCTGTTTTGCTGCCTCTGTGTAAGCAGCCATGTATTCATACGCCTGAGCCTGTGCATTGACTCTGGTCTCAGTGCCCTCCACTGGCAGTGCCACGCCATCCATCACAATCATGGTATTGCCATCCACCTTGCCCAAGAGAAGGCCCATCACCTCCAAGTTACCACCAGATCGAGCATGCATGACCATCTTTAACAGCGCCAGAGCAGAAACTTTGATGTGCTTGAAGTAATGTGGGCTGGCGATAAGACAGTGAAATCTGATTTACACACTACAGATACAGCAATATAAGTCAGTATAATTTACCCAGCACACTGGCAACTATGAACCTCTTTTTACCTACAGTAAAAGAAAAGAAAATGCAATGGTACAGAAAGGTAATAAGATCTAATAGCCACTTTAAAACAATCTTACAGTAGAGGGGAAGAGGAGAAGATGCAGACCAAGAAAGACCTAGACACAGAACTTGATTGACTGGACAGGCTTTAGGCATGCAGTCATGAAGTCCATTGCAGCTGAACACCAAAGTAAGAAGCAGATGGGGAATAGAAAGCCCTCCCTAAGTTCTTTGCTGATCTACTTTGTAACACAATATAAATGCAAAAATATGATACTGATACAGCTATATTATATATATGATTTACTTATTTAAATGCAGCACACCACTTGCCAACTTCTGAAACAAACTAACACTAAAATCGATAAAATCAAATATTGTTAATAACTGTTTAAAAACAAAAAAATTTCTTAAAACAGAACTATCAACATGTAACACTGTCTTTTGTGATAACTGCCGCTTCAGCTTTAAGGAGCCTCTGCATGGTATATTACAAACAAAAAAATGGCTCAAAAGTTCAAATTAATCTGATTTTGTGACTTAAATTGCGGAAATCCTGTGACTACCGCTGAGAGTATCTCAATTTACATGTGAGTGATATCCCGTCAGGATGTGTCATAGTATGGGAACTCATACGGAAACTCAAAATATAAAATTTTCATCTTGGTCCCTCAACTAAACTATTTCAGGGTAGGACTTTTTTCTGGGGACTATAGTGCAAATTCCGAGGGTATCCCCCCCGCCTCCACCCCCGGTGCGGAAGGGGCTAAACTAGATGGCTACCTCTAATGTATTTGCTCGTGAGTCCTAGCCATCTAGTTTAGCCCCTTCCGCACCGCGCGTAGAGGCGCGGGGGATACCCTCGAGGTGGCACTATAGTCGCCAGAAAAAAGTCTACAATTTACAGGAGCTACTTCTTCTGTCGAAAGTACCAGCATGGTCGCATTCGCCACGATCAAGGGGTGGTCGAGATAGTGGAGCGCCATCGTGGCGGCAGCTGGTTTGAAGTTGTCCCGAGGCGACATGCGCGTACATAAAACCGCGCATTACTGATCATGTCTCGCCCTGAACGAGAATTGCGGACAAGCCGCGCTGAGTTGTAATGGCAGACAGCGAGACAGAACAGAAATTCACGCACTATTTGCAACTTCTGTGCCACAATTTTCACATATAAAGGATTTAATTTTCGGTAAGCAGTAGACTTTGCACTTTTACTTACACTTTTCGTTCCTTATTTTTTCCGAGCTACACCTTTTAAATGTTTGTAGGGCAGGACGTAATGAGGCTCTGTTTGGGTTCAATTTCTGCGTAGATCTTTTGGGACTGTTATTCGGAGGAGAGCCCAATTTTTTTCTGGGGTTCCATCAACAATTAATTTTGAGCTGAATCTTGTTTAATGCAACATGACAAAGCTAAAACCTTTCTGAGAAAAAAGTACTGGCTGAATAGTGACATATCAAATTAAAGAGAAATGAATACATAACATGTCAGGCTTTTGCGGGTCAAATTAAGATTTAGTCAGCAGGGCGCCAGCAAAACACTGGCCTATGGCATCAGGCATGTGTGCTCAAAATAGAGATGACAGAGAAGAAACACACTAAACAAACAACGGGGTCTTGGTCTTGAGTTCATCACTTAATGTTAATCATTTATATTAAATAGTACTGACTGGTGTAATAACTGTAATTTCCACGAAACTATAAAAACCATACGGTCAGCTGAGTATGTCGAAAACGGGAGTGGCTGAATCAGTGATTCAATTACTGATTGCTTGCTCACTCTGACTCTGTGTTGTTGCGTCTCAAGATTTGGTTAAGAATTATGTTACAAGACAAGGAGAAATAAATATATAACGTACTCCTTCTCCCACGGCTTTGCTGTGAGAATATCTTGCTGCTGTTTTGCATCATAACGATAAATCTCGTCCACACCGGAGACAGTTTCGACATTGTTGGTCAGCTCCCAGGTCTTTTTAGCTACCTTGGAATCCATTTTGAATGATACTTTTATACTGACTGCAAACTAACGAAACAAACACACATCGCTTGCCATAGAAATTTTAGTGAGTGACGTCCAGTTTAAATATCCTATATTATCGGAGGACGGGAGAAAAATCGGGAAATAGAAACAAAATTTCAACGAGCCAACTTATATACCAAGTGACACCGTTATTAAGACATCCAAACATAAGTATGAACGCCAAGAAACAGATTGTGAAAAGCAGATCACTGAGATAAACACTGTGCTACGAGTGCCATACTTGGACATTATCAAAGGCGTAAAATTACCATATGTGAAATGAGATGCATTAGAAAAGCCGACAACTTAAAAACCGAGACAAAGTTAGAAATCAGACAGACTGTAGGAACAACACCCTGCAGCATATTCAATGAAAAAAAAAGAAGATCACATGGTTTGGTCATTTAGTAAGAATGCAACCAGAACAACTACCAACGCCAGGCGATACATTTGAAAATATCTGAAGTAAACGCAAGAGGCCGCCCTTGGATAACATTGATTGATGACATTAAAGAGCTTCGATGTCGGCACAAAATGACAGTAGCCATTGCTGCGCATCAATTAATGGATCACAAACTGTTTTTCCCCACAACGATTAACGGCAGAAGTGGAAAATGAGGATGATGATGAACGCTAGGTCTGTTGTAGGACACACAATGTTTGCTGAAGACAATGCTAGATGTGTTGTAGGAAAGGCTACGTTTGCTAAAAACAACGTTAGATCTGTTGAAGGACACACAATGTTGCTATAAACAACGCTAGGTCTGTTGTAGGACACACGATGTTTTGTAATCTGGTAATCTGGTAATCCTAGTTTCAGCTTCATAGCAAACGGGTCACCCCATAATTGCTCCGCTCCCGTGCCAACGAAAAATACACGTAGCTCACAGTGTCATGCCATGCACTCAACTCAGAAGCTGGGCGACGAAACTGGTAGTCTGGTAGTCTTTTTTCAGCTTCATAGCAAACGGGTCACTCCATCTTTGCTCCGCTCCTGTGCCAACAAAAAACACACAGAATGTTTATCACAGTATTAGAATTGCAGTTCATCATTGATGGTAGCAGAAGTCGCCTACAGATCAGCAGTTGCCCACGCGATCACATGCGGGCACCACCATATTGCACGACAGGCATCGCGCCATTTTCTGAATCTACAGTTCACACCAACAATTTGGTCACAGTCGAAAAAACATTCCAAATGCAATCCGCAGCTCGCAGCACCTTGAACTTGGGTTTCGGACTGCCGACTTGCTACAGTGTCAGGTTTTGATATCACACTGATTATCCATTGGGCAGCCCATGCGTGCCAGTACAGCGTTGACGATATCTGCTCTGTCCATACTTTTTCCCCCCGCAATCATTAGTGCAGTGCTTGCCAGTTGGTCCGCTCGCTCATTTCCCTTTACGCCCATTAGCATGACCCGCTCGTGTGTAGTGTATCCAGATTACGGAGGTTAAGTGCGATTTCCGAATGCTTTCTATCCATTCAGAGCGCATACTGCCTGTTGCTATCCTCTGAAGCATATTCATTGAGTCTGAGACAATTACTGCCTGTGTGGCGGTTTGCTCGGATACCCACGCTAAAGCTCTAGAAGCAGCGGCTTCTACGGCAAACACTATGTTTGCCGTCGACAACGTTATGTCTGTTGTATGACACACGATGTTTGCCGTCGACAACGTTATGTCTGTTGTAGGACACACGATGTTTGCCGTCGACAACGTTATGTCTGTTATAGGACTCACGATGTTTGCTGTAGGCAACGCTATGTCTGTTGCAGGATATATGATGTTTGCCGTCGACAACGTTAGGTCTGTTTGAGAGCACAACATGTTTGCTGCATACAACGCAATGTCTTTATGGCTGTTGGGGGAAGCACACACAGAGACATGGACACAGACTGACCAACAGAGAGTATAGCGACATACAAACTCACACACACACACACACGAAAGGCAAAATGTTTCGTTTTTTTAAGCCCTGCTCTGGCTCTTGCCAGGGGCCGCAATATAGCCCGGCCATAAATATGGTCTAATGGCTGAAAGTGGTTTCTGGGACCTCCCCATGGACGATCCTCATCCATATGGTGGCACTTTGTGTCATGTCTTAGTGGGGTAAAAGAAGATAGATAGATAGATAGATAGATAGATAGATAGATAGATAGATAGATAGATAGATAGATAGATAGATAGATAGATAGATAGATAGATAGATAGATAGATAGATAGATAGATAGATAGATAGATAGATAGATAGATAGATAGATAGATAGATAGATAGATAGATAGATAGATAGATAGATAGATAGATAGATAGATAGATAGATAGATAGATAGATAGATAGATAGATAGATAGATAGATAGATAGATAGATAGATAGATAGGTAGGTAGATAGGTAGATAGGTAGGTAGATAGGTAGATAGGTAGGTAGATAGGTAGATAGGTAGATAGATAGATAGATATAGATAGATAGATAGATAGATAGATAGATAGATAGATAGATAGATAGATAGATAGATAGATAGATAGATAGATAGATAGATAGATAGATAGATAGATAGATAGATAGATAGATAGATAGATAGATAGATAGATAGATAGATAGATAGATAGATAGATAGATAGATAGATAGATAGATAGATAGATAGATAGATAGATAGATAGATAGATAGATAGATAGTTAGATAGATAGATAGATAGATAGATAGTTAGATAGATAGATAGATAGATAGATAGATAGATAGATAGATAGATAGATAGATAGATAGATAGATAGATAGATAGATAGATAGATAGATAGATAGATAGATAGATAGATAGATAGATAGATAGATAGATAGATAGATAGATAGATAGATAGATAGATAGATAGATGGATAGAAGCCCTACTCTGTCTCATGCCAGGGGCCGCTTTATAATTAGGCTGTAAATATAATATAAAGGCTGAACGCGGTTTCTGGGACCTCTCCACGAGTGATCCTTGTCCACATGGTGGCAATTTGCCTGCAGCTCTCCCTATGTCGTCCCCTTCTTTCTAACTTCATTCTCCAGCTCCTTTCTTCATGTTTTTAAAAAAAATTCCTATGCCTCTGTGGGTTCCAGTGCTTAGACATTCTATTTATATTGTTCTCCGGTTTTCTCAATGTGTGTCCTATCCACAGCCGACTCTATTTATATTTATAAATTATATCTATAAATACAGAAAGGCGTGGTCCTACCCAACGCCAGTGTCTTTTTCTTCACTTCTTGGTCCACATTGTTTAGCACTCTCCCAAAGCTCTACATTAGTGATTATATCATACCATTTAATTCCCTATTTCCTGCGCAGGCACCAGTTAATGAATGTCTGTAGTTTATTGGTAACAGTCTTATGTGTTCTCCATGTTTCCTCTCTATACAAAAGTAGTGATTTGACATAATTACAATTTTCAAGTTTAGTATTTCTTTAAATTTTTTCTGACCTGTACAAATTCCCTGAAGCTATGAAAGCTCCTCTAGCTTTTTATACTCTTTTTTTAATATCTCTATCATTTCCCCCTTTTATCTACAGTACAGTACTGCCTAAATAGGTGTAAGACTTCACGTCTTGGAGTGGGGTGCCATTAAGAGAAACCACATTACTATTTGTCTTTTCAATATGGATTTTCAGACCTAGCTGCTGTGATCTCGCATCAAGTATGTTTAGTTTATCTTGCATTTGATTCCGTGAATGAGACAGAAGAAAAATATCTTCAGCGAAGTCCAGATCATCAAGCTGTTTTGTAGGGGTCCATTGAATTCCATTCTTGGTGTTAGCAGATACTGCCTTCATAATCCAGTCTATCGCCAGTAAAAATAGGAGAGGCGACAAAGGACATGACCGTCGCACACTTGTTTTTAATTTAAATGTATCTGTTAGCATTTTATGTCTGCATGTGTTGTCTTTACTAAGTTAATAATTTTCTTTGTTTCACCCAGTGTGTATCGTTTGTTGAGGGGTTAAACGTAAGGTCATGCTCATGCCTGCTAACACGCAGGTGGGTTATTACAGAATCAACGATATTAGCGTCGCAGTTGCTTTGCGGCAGCATGGAGAACACTGTTGACAGAAACAACCAACGTACCTGACTGATGTAAGTAGAAAGATAGTAGGACACACTAGTTTAGTTGCGTATCCATTAAAGGACGTTGCGGAACCAACCCCAACAGCCCCTGGCTGTTGTGTGGTTTTTCTAGGCAAATGTACGTCCAGTAGTTTGCCATTGCTTCTGGACGGTCGGCCTTCTTGATATCACTGTCGAAACCAAAGCAAGGCCCATGGCCCGCAGCTGAGATAGAACCCGGCATCCCGGCATTACGAAGCGTTCGCATCGACTTAGCCACAAACATAAAAATCGAAATCTATATTTACAGTCATTTACTTATTTTATTTCACAAACTGTATTATGTTAAGTGTGCTTTTTAGTCCGAAGACTGGTAAAGAGGTAAAAACTAGAGGACCCTTTGCCATGCATTCAGGCGTAATGAACATATGTTGCTAGATCTATGTTTTATAGATCAATCGGTACTGGGTTGGTGACGTGGTAAGCATCATGCCGACTACCTTTGATTCCCAGGACTTTCCCTAGTACCCATTTAAGGCTCTGTCGGCCTAGAGGCCAAGGCAATTTATGAAAAAAGTCCCAACGTGAAAAAAAAGTCCCCTTGCGTGTGGATTTGAACCCACGACATTCAGATCCGCAGGCGAGCTCTAGCTGCTACATGACGGCAGATCCGGTGGACTAGCAAATCTTTTAGTTTTCTGTAAATACCTCATGTCACATATGTGACCAAAGTCAGTTGCGTATCCTTGACAGAACGTTACAGAACCAATCGCAGCATTTGTGTGTGTGACTATTTGTGATTTTACTATACAATTATACAATTTTACGTTTTAATATTTTGCAATTGCTGCTAAACGGTCGGTTCTCAAACCACCATCGCAACCAACTCAAGGTCACCTGCTGACAAACCAGCCGCAGCAGCGATTGAACCCGGCACCTCGGCATTTAGAAGCGAATTAACAACAGTTAAACCTCAGACGTCCACGGAGCTATTGTATCCGTGCTTTGTGTGATGCTCTAGGCCAGCGGTTAGCTAAACCATTTTGAATTTGAAACACACACACACACACACACACACACACACACACACGCACGCACGCACACACACACACATACACACACACAAAACAGGTGAACTCAAGTCGATCATTTCAATTTTAACGTTTAACTCAATTAAAACCTGTTTTCTATGGTTAAATAGGCTTTCTTGGATTAATTCCTGCTGTGTTTGCTCCGAATAACGAGCCTTTGAACTTTGATTCTGTCAGGCTGCAAACTCAAAGGGAATAAAAAAAAAACTGTTAACTACTGTCTGTTTTATTACCTTTTGGGGCGGTGTAGACAGTTAGGCAGTTGGGGAAGAGGGGGTTGGGGAGGGCGGGGGAGGGGAGGGCAGGGGGGGGGGGAGAGGGAAACCATGAGCCTGAGGATTTAGAGCAGCCTGGCTAGTGTTGTCGCTACAGAATATGCAAATAAGGATGTTTAATTTTGCCCCCGAAAGATAATAATTTTTTTAAAATAATAATAATAAAAAAAATTCGCTTCTTGTAACAATTAACAGGTAAGCTTTGTAGTGACAAATATTGACTATTATGTCTTTCATTCAGGGCAGTTTTGACACTTTGTGAGGCCTTAGACTGGCTAAACTATGTGAAGCTTTGAACAACCCTGTCACACACATTGACTCCCAGCTAACCGAAAGTCACATGACCCGAGCCTTTCCCGGGCTGCCAGGTGACCTCAAAGCGCTGAAGCCTCACTCTGACCCCGAGCCGCAACTGACCTCACCCACAGACACACACACACACATGCTCTCTCATACATACACCACACACATAGACACACACACACTCACAGACACACGCACACACAATATACAAGTATACAAGAACGTCTCATAATACTCGAAAACATACTAGGATATATTTTATTAAACACAAGGCATTTAAAATGAAAATACAAATATTTTCAAACTGATGCAATTATAAACTAAATAATAATAATCTGATTGCTATGTAGATAACAGATAATGAACGTGAATCCTGAATGACGATTGAGTGTGGGGAAAAAAACACGTCTTCTTTCTTTCTTTCTTTCTTTCTTTCTTTCTTTCTTTCTTTCTTTCTTTCTTTCTTTCTTTCTTTCTTTCTTTCTTTCTTTCTTTCTTTCTTTCTTTCTTTCTTTCTTTCTTTCTTTCTTTCTTTCTTTCTTTCTTTCTTTCTTTCTTTCTTTCTTTCTTTCTTTCTTTCTTTCTTTCTTTCTTTCTTTCTTTCTTTCTTTCTTTCTTTCTTTCTTTCTTTCTTTCTTTCTTTCTTTCTTTCTTTCTTGTTGTCTTTCTGTCTGTCTGTCTGTCTTTTTTTCTTTCTTCCTTTTTTTCCTTTTTGCTTTCTTTTTCTTGCTTTATTTCTCTCCCCTCCTCTTTCTTTTGTCGCCCTCAACATGACGCTGCTCCCAAAACTCTTGCCGCAATGTGCAGTTACATATGTTAAACATATCTAAAGAAGACCCTGATGATGATGATGATGCTAAACCGAGTGACACAACTAAAGTGTATGAAAAAACAAATCTCTTTCAGCCTCAAACTTCAGACTAGGATCTTTGTTCACGACATCCTTCAGTCTTTCAATTTGAAATTCCTTACACAGAGCAATGTAGTCCTGTACAAACTCTTCTCCCAGTTCTCGTGTTAGGATCTCGTCATGCTCCAGTGCCTGAAGAGCCTCTTCAAGTGACCTGGGAAGTGGATTTTGCGGCTTTGACTTCTCATCTCCAGATATGAAAGGTCTGTGCAAGTACAGAAGAAACACTAATTAAAAACAAAACTTCAGTTGGATTGCATATAAGGAAATAGTGCAAAAGTCGACCACAATGCCCCGCCTTGAGAGACACACAGATAAACAAACAAAAGCCAACTTTAAAAAAGCCTAATAAAAAACGCTGATTAAGTCCTTAAACAAAGTACCATGTCATCATCATGTAGCAGGTCCTTTGCAGAACGTCGCTCTCACCACAGTCTGCCTGAAAGAAACACGGTTCCCCGCCAGCTCCCCCACCTTATGTACTTGCATACTCAAGGAGTCTCTTATATCCTGTGCCCATCTTCGTGTCGGTCGGCCACATGATAAAAGTACCATGTATCTGTCTGAAAACCCATTCTACTTTAGTTTTAAACTAACTAAGAAAACAGTTGTTACTAAATCCCCTTCTGTCTTTGAAACTTATTATGTTAACTCATGTTAAGCAAGGGATCTCGTTCATGTTGATGAAAACAGGTATGACTGCATTCAAGATAGTATAAACTTTTAAAGAAATGAATCCAATGAATTGTGACTAAGAAGCTAAACAAAGGGGGGGGGGGGGGGGTGGGGATTGGGTGGACATACACATACACAAACAGCATACACGTGCGTGCGCACGTGGAATAATCTAATGTTTCGACAGAAGTCTTTGTCAACAAAAAGCAACAACAAGGGGAAGGGTATCCCAACCAGGGGGCCCCCACACAGTGGAGTCTGATAAATAACTATAAAATATAGGAAGACGAAAGGATGACGCGGAACGAAATAAAAAAAAGTGTAGCAAAAAAAATTTATAATAAGAATAATGATAATAATAGCAACAATGGGTAATTCACATAATTAACGTAGTAGTAATAGAAATAATAGCAACAATAACGTTAATGGTGATAATAGTAGTAACAAGAATAAAACTAATTCTATTCAATAATGACTAATAACAGGTAAAATATTTAAAAAAAAAAAAAAAAAAAAAAAAAAAAAATAGTAGGAATAATAATACTATTTAGATAACATAAATTCACAATGCTGAACATTGATTCCTGCTGGGTCCAGAACACCTGCACAGGAAAACGCAATTTTACAAAGAGAAACGTGATCACTGGAGCAAGATTTTATGGTGGTGACAGAAATATTGTCAACAGAACCGATCAGCTAGCTTCCTGTCGGTTTCTCCAAAATAGGCATTTTTTCATCTTTTATTGATAAAAGAATAGATTACGTTTTGCGTGTGAATCCACAAACTAGAGCTATTTTTTTTTTTTTTTGGTGTTACGACAATTAACACTCAACAGGTCAAGATCACATTGGCTACCTTTACTACCCAGAATATTATCTGGTACCCATTTTAGGCTGTGTCGGTCTTCAATACAGTTCTTCATGATGTGGCGACCCCCCAACCATACAATTATTTTCGTCGCTATTGTATATTACAACAATGAATATGTGTTTTGTGATGGTCTTTGGCAACCCCTGGTTAAGGGTCGTTTGACCCCATGCAGGGTCGCGACCCACAGGTTGAGAGCTGCTGATCTAAGAGAACATTATGAGATGTATGACACAGCTAACGAAAGTATGGTGCGCTGTGTGGCAGAACAAGATTCGAGCTACAATATAATTGTTTTTTAAAGCAATAAAGATATCATTATGCACCGGAAGCTGAGGTAGAGCAACATCTAGTGCGCCCATCTACAGACCGCGTGGGTATGTGTTCGAATTCCATCGAAGCCTAAGGTATTTGGGCTCCCATGTTGACCCAGCCTAGTGTGTATACATCCCAGGGAAATAAAGGATGAATATTATTGATAGCCTCACTCAGCGTTTGTAGATTTATCATCGTCAACATCATGATTCAGCATAGTCTTTATAGAACGTCGCTCTAGTCATGGCACGCCTAAAGGTCTCTATTTCTTTAGTCAATCCTCAAGCCCTGTGTGCTTTTATTGCCAATACATCTGCAATATCTTGTATCTACCCTCAAAATGACCGGCCCCTGTCTCGTTTTGAGAAAACTGCTTTCCGTCACTGCTCTCTTTAGATCACCATGACGTTCAAAATGGCCATAATAGCTCAGCTTGAGGGACAGAATCCTGTTTATGAGCCAAATCTCGTCGATTCCCAGAAAATGTAGGATGTTGGCGTTTATCGTCTTTGTGATCCATGATATTCCACGAATGTGTGGATAGACAAAACATATAAGCTAAAGGACTTGCACTGTGTACTCAATGTGTTTACCCCTATAGGACGTTTTGGTTCCGGGGCACAGGGAAAGGTGGGGAAAGGGGGGCCTGTAGAGTGAGACCCACTGCCCCCTAACAAAGCATGTCGTAAAAAGCTACTAATTAGGGTTATTTCACTAGAAATCCAAGTGTATCTGCCTGAGAGCCGAGAAACCAATACACAAATACAATACAGGTTTAAAACAGATGTGCAGGCAAAACTCAAGTCATGGAACAAGACCAAAGACCAGAAGTGGACGAACAACCAGAACTTTCCGATAGTCTACAACCAGTGTACGCTAAGAAGAAGAAAAGCCAGAGAACAAATACTTAAAGAACAATGTCTAAATGCTTGATTAAGAAATTCCTTGTGTGGTTTCCAGGGCCCCCTTAGGGCGGACGGGCCGGGGTGGAGGGGCAGGGGTGGGGGGGGGGGTAGGGTAACAAAATAATAGACTCACTACCCATGACAAAGATATCGAAAAGGGTGTGCTGAAATCAGATATGTTGGTCTGAAAGGCGTAAATATCGTAACCTATAGAACGTTTCAAAGGTCGCACCTTCACACTTTAATAAATATCTCGAAAACTCCCGTACGGATCAACACGAATGTTTTGCAGCTGGCCTTAGTTTTCCCATGTCTGTTTGGTTCTATAATTTACCTTTGCACAGGTGCTGCTCTTTACTCAAAGCAGCGAGTTTCTTTGAGCTTTCTTCGACTAATAGTTTGTTTACACCTAAGACATAGAACAAACTGTAACTGACACACGCGTGGAGACTGGAAACCATTTCACATTTGCAGCGACGCGTGGTGGTTATTTTGATAGCCTATACGGCATACAATGAAGAAGTTTGTTCATGTAACTTACGGAAGGCAAATGCTGGAGATAACTACTAGAGGAAACACACATGAAACACGCGCAATTTGATGTTTTGAAAAGTTCCCATTACTCAGTTAACTGTAAGCATGCGACTGTTTTTTGTGAATAGGTATCTGATTTTTTGGGGTCCAAATGCCATAAATTATGCAACATGAAAACTAGATGTTTTTTTGATTAAAACAAATTCTTACAAGGACATGGTTATTAACAGGTTGCATGGGACATTTCAACAGTTTACACGAACGATTACTGTCCTACATATGTTTAACGCTGGCAAAGACTTCTGGAAAGGTAAATAGCTGAAAATCAACATGCCAAACACCTTTTTGTAGTGAAAGCGGAGGAAGAAGCGGTGCTTTATTCATATCCTACCCCAAACAGGGGAAATCCACAGGTCACGGGACAGTCTAATATTTTAGGGTGTGGTAGAAAGGCAGCATGCATTCGTGGGACGTAGGTGGGTTGGGGTAAGGGCCAGTTCTAGTTGTTTTGGGGTCGTTAAAAGCATCAGAAAGTCAGGAAACCTAGTCTTACCACCCTCTAAAATGTTGGACTGTCATGTGACGTCATATTAATACAGAACAGAAGAAGCAAGACTCACCTGAAGATCTGTGGCGGGGGAGCCTCCAGACGTCGAGTGATACCATCAATACCTGCCGCCACAAGTCCTGCAGTGCACAGGTAAGGATTGCAGGCAGACGAGGACATCCTGTCTTCAATATAGACGTTTTGACTCCTGCATTTCACACGTAACCTGGCATTCCTGTATCGCAACAAGACAAGAGTTTCTTTATTTTAATTTTTTGCAATCAGCGAGAAGTAACACTGGAGATTTCTTTTGTGCTGTTGATGTACTGTATGTTAAGTTAGATTTGACATCCGGTCAAAATAGACGCTAGGCAAGGTCACTATTTTGAGTCGTGGTACAGTTTTTTGCATCTGCTAAACGGTGGCCGTTGCATTTTTGCTCCACTTGTAGACTGAAAGGATATAGTTTCGTCGCCCAGCTACTGAGTTGAGTGCCTCGTGCGACCTTGGAAGCTGCGGATTTCATTTGGAATGTATGCTAGTGCATATGCTGAGACAGCAGTCTGTCAATCTTTCCACAAGGGATTGTGATAAACATTCTGTGTGTTTTTAGTTGGCACAGGAGCGGAGCAACTATGTGGTGACCCGTTTGCCATGAAGCTGAAACTAACATTACCATTACTAAGTTAGCTGCGTGTCCCGTATAGGGCGCTGCAGAACCAACCCCAGCACTTTGGAGGGCTGTTTTATGTATATATTAGGCAATGTTTAAGTACTTGGGTATCCTGATAATATCAGATGGAAGAAGTATTAAAGAAGTTATATAAGGAATAGCTCAAGCAAAGGCAGCATTTTCAAAATGAAGAATAATATTTCATGCAATCTTTCTTTGTCAATTGAGATTAGAAAGAGAATTCTTAAAAGCTATATTAATCCAAAATTTATATACGGATATGAAGTAAACTAGTGAAAACTTATTTTGAATTTGCGGAGATGTGGTTTTAAAGACGAATGATGAGATTATCCTGAAAGATAAAAAGAGTAATGAAGACGTCTTTAAAGAAACCGATTCACGACGAGAACTGATTGCCCACATCACAAAAAAGACAATCTACATTCTTTGGTCATGTGATGAAAAGGAGAAAACTGGAGTACATCGTGACGGTATGAAAGTTGGAGTGGAGCAGAGGCAGAGAGAGACCGAGAGAACATATGCTGGACGGTTTTACATCATGGCATGGGGGATCATCTGTGCCAGAATTGATTGAAAGTACGCGAGACAGAAGGTTGTAGATAGACATGACTACCAACGGCACACTTCATAATCTTTTGGAAGAAGCCTTTTATGACAGGTTTTTAAGCGCTCCCACCTTTTTCCTTTTGAGTACTCAAATTCTGATAAATGCAGGAAACCTGTCGAGGTTCTTGAAATAAGTAAAGATCCCTTTTCCACGCCTTAGGCGTATAGGACATATAAGGTTAGACCTATATTTTATAAACCAATCGGCACAACGTGGGTGATGTGGTCAGCATCACACCAGCCGCCTTTACCTCCCGGGACTGCAGCTGGTACCCACTCAAGGCTGGGTCGACCTGGGAGTCAAGGTCATTTTTGAAGAACGTCTGGCTCCGTCAGGGAGAGAACCCACTACCTTCTGATTCGCACGCGAGCGTCTATTCGCTACGCCACGTTCTTGAAATAGCACGATAAATATCCAGGATATTGAATGTAGCAAAACTTGAACACAGACATGTTGCTAATTAGAATTGTTATAATTGTTGCCTCGTTCGTCACGTTCACCGGCTGTAAACTCCGGCGGAAAGTTTTGGTTGTTCATCCACCTGTGGACTTTAGACTTGTTACAGATCCTGATTGTTGCGTGAACATCCGTTTTACAGATCTGACTTATTTGTATACAGCCTGTTGGTTCCTTGTCTCCCAGGCAGATGCACTTCGACTTCGGAGAAAACACCAAATTAGTCGACTCTTACGACATGCTTGTTGGCGAGGCAATGGGTCTATTCTTGTCTTCCCCACAATGGGACCCAGAACCCACACGAGGAATTACAAATTGTAATACGCACTTGAAGGAGGTTGACTCCTCCTGAGGTCTCCCCTATAAATCTCTGCCGCTTAACGTCCTCCCCCACCCTCACTCTCTTCCAGTGTGTTTTATTATTGCCAATGCATCTTCAATATCTTGTATCCAGTGTGTGTATGTGTGTTTTTGTCCCTGCTAGACCCCAGCCTCTAGACACACGTCTTAATCTTCGGTTCTTTGTGTTGATTTCATTGCCTAATTTTGAAGGAAAAAAACCAAAAACATAATAGACCCACTGCTTCCCAAAAATCATCATCATCATCATGTGCCTTGCCGACTGGCGTGGGCGATCATGCCTCTCCATAATCTGCGATCTCCTGCAGCATGTATCAGTTCCTGTGCCGACACACCTCCATGCCATGCAACAAGACTGTCAAGCATCTTCTCTCGTTGTCTTCCTCTATCTCTCCTTCCACAGATCTTTCCAGTGGTCACAACATGTTCTATTTTCCCTCTTCTCATAACATGGCCGATGTCTGTGTTAAGTTGTCTTCGGTCTCTCGCTTCTTTCAAAACCTCTTGGTTGCTCTTTTTTGGCTGTCCAAGGTATTCTAAGCATTCTTCTGTAAAACCACATCTCTGAGGCCTCTCTCCCCAACAAGCATGTCGTAAAAGTGCAGCCTCTCCGTTAGAGTTTACAGCCGGTGAACGCAAAGACCAAAATAAGAATAATCCTCGGTAAGTTGATAGACGTTTTTTTTCCTGTTGGGATTAAAGACAGCAATCCTAATATGCATTCTTCGTGAGAACTTCACTAACAAGGGGTGCCTTAAATCATCAATCACACGAACCCTCCTCCCTTTTCCCTTTTCCTACACCATTCTAAAGCGAGCTTCCTGGTTAAGTCGTACAATCCACAATCAACGTCTAGTTTCTTTTGTCATTATAGTAATTGATCAATGCATTATCGGAGACACAGCCAGTTCTTTGGGAACCAGCAACGGAATCAGTTGAGAAACAAGATTATTATGGCCTGGAGAGAATGAGGCACCTGGGTGTAATCCAGGAGAATGAGGAACCTGGGTGTAACCAGTGGGTCTGGCCGGCTCACTAGGTCAGAGGAAAGGCAAGACGGACATATAACCAGATTACGACCGGTACCATCAGTATTGGAACTCTGCGCTGGCTGCTGAAGATGAGGAAAAAGCACGCATGGGAATGCCCCGAGTGCCCTGATGTCAATTCTTGACTCAACTCAACTCGGAAATAGCTGGATGTGGAGAGGCATGACCGCTATCATCAGCCAGGAAAGTACTTGATGATTATATTATCACAGCTAAGTAATGAAATCAAGAGAACAATGTCACCTGTCGCTGTAGTTCCATATGTTGTCACTGGGAGCAAACAGGTGATGCAGGCGGTTGTAACAGTTAACTGTTGGACACATTAGAGCAGCCAGAGCGTTGCCATGATGAATCACACCCGCTATCCAGTGACGCATTATGGTGGAACAGTTGTTGTCATCTTTTGGATCATAAAAGGCATTTCTGCACAGACAAAATATTTTGCTATTTAAAGATGGATGATGTAATGTACAAGTACACTATGATGAGACTATGGTGAGCTATGTTGTATAGACCAAGTAGAATTCGAAAAAGACACCGGAAAAGGGTAAAATGGAAGACTAAGAGAAGGAGAAGGAGGTGAAGGAGAGGGAAGAAATAATAATAATAATAATAATAATAAAAATAATAGTAGTAGTGATAATAATAATATTCAGAGATTTTTTTTTAGTGCGGTACCCAGTTGTGATGTGTCAATGTATTAAGAATAAGAAGAAGACAAATAATAATAATAATAATAATAATAATAATAATAATAATAATAATAATAATAATAATAATAATAATAATAATAAAAAGAAGAAGAAGAAGTAGAAGAAGAAGAAGAAGAAGAAGAAGAAGAAGAAGAAGAAGAAGAAGAAGAAGAAGAAGAAGAAGAAGAAGAAGAAGAAGAAGAAGGAAGCAGAAGCAGAAGCAGAAGAAGAAGAAAAAAAGAAGAAGAAGAAGAAGAAGAAGAAGAAGAAGAAGAAGAAGAAGAAGAAGAAGAAGAAGAAGAAGAAGAAGAAAAAGAAGAAGAAGAAAAGGTAGGAGGAAGAGGAGGAGAAGAAGAAGTACCGAAAAAGAGTAGCAACAAGTCATTATTTTGTGGTCAGAAAAAATGTGTAAGAGAACTATAAAACAAACACCTACTGGCCGTCGATTGTCCACAAGGAATGATTAAAGTGAAATCCACTATTGGAAGAATCCTCCAGGGGTTTGGTCATAAAGGTCGCCTCCAGTCCAGACCTCTCAGACAGAGATTTGCTGACGTAGCGAAGGCGGTGTGTGGCGTCAGCCGTTTCAATTCCATAGAGAGGTTTCATTGAGTACTGTGGATAGAGACAGCTGTATGTTTGAGTGCGTATATTTTTAGTGGCTATATATTACTGATCCCCCCTTCCCTTTTAAGTTTATTTTCATTATCGTCACCACCATCACCATCACGTAATATTCGCCATCATCACCACCACCACCGTCATTACCACTATCCCCACCATGACCACCACTATCACCACTATCCCCACCATCATCACCACTATCACCACCACTATCACCACTATCCCCACCATCATCACCACTATCCCCACCACTATCACCACTATCCCCACCACTATCACCACTATCCCCACCATCATCACCACTATCCCCACCACTATCACCACTATCCCCACCATCATCACCACTATCCCCACCATCATCACCACTATCCCCACCATCATCACCACTATCCCCACCATCATCACCACTATCCCCACCATCATCACCACTATCCCCACCACTATCACCACTATCCCCACCATCATCACCACCATCACCACTATCCCCACCATCATCACCACTATCCCCACCATCATCACCACTATCCCCACCACTATCACCACTATCCCCACCATGACCACCACTATCACCACCTTCACCACACGTTCCCACCATCACTATCAGCATTGTGCATCATCACTATCATCATCATCATAAAAACCTGACTCGTCATAAATGTTTAGTTAAACAAAGATAAAAGAAATTGACCGCTTTAAAAAAAGCAGCACCTCTGTAATTGTAAATTATAAAATCGTAAGGTCATGGGAAATGTGACTCACTTAAAAATGATAGTTTTTGAAAAATCCGTCTCATTGCTTATTGGAGCCAGCTTTGAGTACTTTGATGTGGTAGAATTGTAACGGTCTTAGGAGATGCAGTAACCAAAGAGGATGCTAGCTAAGCTACTGGTAAGGTTCCCCATGACGGACAGGTAAAGGGTAGAAACAAAGCAAAGAAAAATACAGCTCTAGGCTTTGCAGGTAGACAGAACAGTCATGGGCTAATGTAAGCAAAACCATGGGCAATTCCTTCTATTATGCTACATCTTTCCCAGCACATGACTGCAGTTTAATTCAGGCTCTCCACGGAGTGGACAAATCACGAATCAAAAACATTGTGGATGCTACTCAAACGGACAATTCGCCATTAAATGGGCACTAGCCACGCGCTATTGCCGTTATATTTAGGAGAAGTCCAGTGGCGCCACTTCCACAAGCAGCACATTGTCGGCCATTATTTGGAACTCCTGCGTCACAATTTTCACATATAGCGGCCGTTATTATGGGTAAGTACTTAACGCTAAATGTGTTACCCTAACCCAAACCCTAACCCTAACCCAAACCCTACCCCTAACCCTAACCCTACCCCAAACCCTAAGCCTAGCCTAACCCTAAGCAACCGTAGCATGACAGGTAAGTATGTCATTTGTTTCGTTCCCTCTCTACCACTCCGTATTTGCACTGCAGCCAAGGGAGTGAACTCCGACTAAGCGACCGTCGCCTTCCAGCTAGCGACCGTTATTTAAAGGAGAGCCTTAATTCATACCTCAATCTGTCCAGGACCCAGTTCCTCCATCTGTGTCTCCACGGGAATACCTGAAGCCAGCAACCCCATCATGAGGTCATAGTAAAATGTGATGTCTGTGTCCAGTCGCACCATACTCACCAGTTCATTGTACTAGATTGAAGTAGAGGAAAAATAAAAGTAATACAATCTGTTGCTAACAACACAAGTTGAATCAGTCAACTTAAAATAGTAAATTAAGGACTAACAGCAGCAAGGACATCGGTATTAGAGGCACTAGTTGTAGTAGAAATAACAGCAGCAGCAGCAGTAGCAGTTAATGTAATAATATTAGAAAAAGAAGTTGTAGTTATGAGCAGCTGGAGAGGTGGAAAGGATATGATTCAGTATAACCAGCATAAGAATAGCAGAAGTAGTATTAGTAGCATAAGCAATAGTTGTAGTCCTTGTCAAATTTTGCTGTCGTAGTAATAGTAGTAGTAGTATCAGCAGCAGCAGCAGAAGCAGCAGCAGCAGCAGCAACAGCATTAGTAGTAATAGTAGCCGTGTGCGTATTGATAGTGGCTATAGCAGTAGCTGTAGAATAAGTAGTAGTAGTAGTTGTTGTTGTAGTTACAGTTGTAGTTGTAGTAGTAGTTGTAGTAATGGTGGTGGTGGTAGTGGTGGTGATAGCGGTATTAGTAGTGGTGTTAGTAGTAGTAGTGGTGGTGCTGGTATTAGTAATTGTAGTAGTAGTGGGGTGATGGTGGTAGTAGTAGTAGTAGTGGTTGTGGTGGTGGTTGTAGTAGTAGTAGTAGCAGTAGTAGTAGTAGTAGCGGCAACTGAAAAACAAATGTAGGGCAACAAATACAAGAACAACCTTCCGCTAACTTGATAACCAGCTGTAAAGACACGTCATCATCATCAGGTGCCTTGCCGACTGGCGTGGGCGATCATGCCTCTCCATAATCTGCGATCTCCTGCAGCATGTATCAGTTCGTGTGCCGACACACCTCCATGCCATGCAACAAGACTGTCAAGCATCTTCTCTCGTTGTCTTCCTCTATCCCCCCATCCACAGATCTTTCCAGTGGTCACAACACAAAGACATGTAGTAATTGTAAATGACTCACAGGGCATGCAGAGAAGAGCAGAGACAGATATGCTGTGCAGAGTGGCAAGCATGGCTCCAGAGGTCCAGGCTAATTATTGTCTTTTGGATATTTTCTCCAGAATGTGTCAGTGGTTTGGAAAACGAATAGGCAGATAGAGAGGCTGGTTCTATTCCACTTGCAGACGAACTGATAACTGACGAGCTAGATTTGGTAAAGGTCTTTTGGGGGCGAATGAACAGCGTGGAGGTACCAACAGATCGTCAAGGTCTGAAAAGAGTGGTGCAGCGAGGAGTCGACAGGTGATCTGGCTGACATTGGACCCTCAATGGAAAGGCGAGACGCATTGACACTCAGAATGTTACTGATGACTTCGGAACTGCAGTTCTGCGCTTGATGCTGAAGATGGAGACGGAGCGCTTATGGGAATATCAAGAGTGCTATGAAATCGGTTGTTAATTCTATATCCAACAGTGAAGTATACATATATATAAAGAAACATCCGAACTTACGTCGCCACCATAAGCAGTTGTTGTTCCTTTATGATATATTGTGTACTCAGTCTCAAAAGCAGACATGAACTGGTAACCCAGTTCCTTTAGTTTTTCCAGTTGTCTCAGGGCGAGAGTTCGGGGAGAACTCAGATCTCTGTCATTTTTAGAATTATGCAAGTCACATAACACATGACCAACCTGTGACGAAATAACAAATAACAATTTATCTTAACCGTATGATATAGTGCATGATGTTGCCCACGTCACCCAAATAGTGCTGACTTGTCCATAAATGATTAGTCTAGCCCTATGTGCCCAATACGTCTAAAGGCGTGGCAAAACGCCCTTTATTTTTACTTTATGGTACATTTATTTGTTATTCTGAGATCACCACGGCGTTGGCGGCTGGACGCCCGCCTGTGGGTCAAAAGATCGTGAGGTCGGTTTCTGACGGAGTTGGTTTTTCTTCCTTAAAGAATTACTTTGACTCCCAGATCGACCCAGCCTTGAATGGGTACCAGTCCTGGGAAGTAAAGGCGGCCGGTGCGATGCTGACCACATGACCCACAAAGTGCCGATGGTCTTATGAAAATATAGGTCTAGTCCTATATGCCCAATACTCCTAATGGCGTAGAAAAAGGGACTTTTACTTTTATTTTTATCTGATAGGAATGCCCGGCTCTCTAGCGAAGTTGGCAAAACCGGATTGCGCGGAGACCAGGTGACGAACTCCTTGTGGTCAGGGTTCAATCCCGGGTGTAGGCAGGAAAGCCACATTTCTCCCAGATTTACGGTATTTACAATGGAATCAAGGCCGAAAGGTTGCGATATCCATGATACCGAGCCTAAGGGTTAACAACTCATGGCTTCTGGATACTAAAACAAACAAACAAAAAATCTGATAGGAATAACAACCATCATCTAATCTAACTACTGCACATTACGCTCTTGCCTTGGCTGTCGTTAAAATAAAAATAAATCAATAACAGAAGCAGCATCCAAATACACACACAACAACAACAACAACTACTACTACTATTTCTACTATTACTACTACTACTACCATCCAAAACTCTACCACTGCCATCACCACCACAACAATTACTACTACTACAGCTGATGATGCTAGTGGTACAATTAGTACAATATCTACTACTAAAATCACCACCACCATCAAAAACTCAACTACTACCACCACCATCACAATTACTTCTGCTGCTGCTGCTACTACTACTATACTACTACCACTCCTCCTCCTCCTCCTCCTCCTCCTACTACTACTACTACTACTACTACTACTACTACTACTACTACTACTACTACTACTACTACTATTACTACTATAACTACTACTACTACTACTACTACTACTACTACTACTACTACTACTACTACTACTACTACTACTACTACTACTACTACTATTACCACTACTACTACTACTACTATTACCACTACTACTACTACAGCTGATGATGCCAGTGTTGCTGCTTCCACTACTAATGCAATAACAATAGAAGCAGCACCAGCTGCTACTATTAGCCCTACTTCTCGCTCGCCTGCATCAAGCTGGGTACCAGATGGAACTCTGAGAAGTCAGGCGTTCGTAGTCATATTGCACACATCAGCTAAAATGGTGCCGATTTAAAAAGTTGAGTTTAGCATCATATGCCGCTGGATGTGCCACTGGCATAAAGAAAGGTCCTTTGCGATCGCATTTTACTACTATTGCTACTAGTGTTACTGCTGCTGCTACTACTACTGTAAATAAACAGAGAAGGAACCCTTAAAGCCGTTAAATAATATATATTATTAATCAATACATGCCGATCGAAACATTTTCTGTTACTTTAATAATATATTATATTTAACGGCCTCAAGGGTTCCCAAACTGTTTATTTATAGGAATAGACAAAGCAATAAGTGTGTTCTTCTATCTTTCAAGATGTACTTCTTTCTATGAGTGCACGCGAGGCTCATACGCCGTCTGGATCTGACAGGCTCGATTCCTTCTTCGATTTTTATGTTGTCTAGTGTGTTCTTCTAATATTACAATTGCTTAATAAATTTTGTGTTACACAATTACACCATCACAATCACCACTGGTGCTACTGGTGCTATGCTGCTACCATAACTAGTACAAATAATGTTTGCTATTAGTTCACGCCAATTATTACATCATCACTTTCTACCACAACCACCACTCGTGCTACTACTGGTGCTATGCTGCTACCATAGCTACTACAATTAATATTTGCTCTTAGTTCACGACAATTATTACATCATCACTTTCTACCACAACCACAAAAAAAAAAAAAAACCATTACAGGTGCGACTGCAGCAACATCGTATCCGGTACTTTTTGTAACTACTATTGTCATCACCTTTGAGCCATCTTGACACAGCCAGTCCAAGGGTTTCAAAGTTGTCAAGTCGGGATACATCCTGTACGTCACGGAACTTGTGTTGTTGTATCGAGGAAGTGTCCGGGGTTCCTCGTTATGAAAACCCATCACACACTTAGCTGAGAACAAAGGTTACTATTTATGCGACTTTATGTACTATTTATGTCAATTTATTAATTTCTTTAGTACAATATTCATATATAGGTAGTTGTTGCCTTTTGTAGTAATCCTCCTCCTCTTCTTCTCCTGTTCCTCCTCCCCCTCCTCTTTATCATCGTCAGCTTCCTAATCATCAGCACCGTCTTCTTCTTCTTCTTCTTCTTCTTCTTCTTCTTCTTCTTCTTCTTCTTCTTCTTCTTCTTCTTCTTCTTCTTCTTCTTCTTCTTCTTCTTCTTCTTCTTCTTCTTCTTTCTTCTTCTTCTTCTTCTTCTTCTTCTTCTCTTCTTCTTCTTCTTCTTCTTCTTCTTCTTCTTCTTTCTTCTTCTTCTTCTTCTTCTTCTTCTTCTTCTCTTCTTCTTCTTCTTCTTCTTCTTCTTCTTCTTCTTCTTCTTCTTCTTCTTCTTCTTCTTCTTTTTCTTCCTCCTCCTTCTCCTCCTTCTTCTCCTCATCCTCACCCTCTTCTTCTTCTTCTTTTTATCCACCCTTCCTTCTTTTTCTAAGGGTTGCCTTCATCCATATCGCTAAGACTACTACGCTACATTGTCAAAAGGAGTCGAGAAGCTGGGGGAGTTTCTCTATGTTGACTTTGTCTACGTGTAGTGATGTACAGAAACATCCTTTGTTATGTCAACTAGCCAGGCTTTGATTTTAGAGCAATATTGGCAGTTTGATCTATTATTTTGAGATTAGGTTGATAATTGTGTCATCTGCTGGATTTGTCTCTTTTGTGATCATTTGCTTTACTTCTCTGATATCAGATTTCCTAATCTCAATAATGCTGACTGAATGGAAACGTCAAAGAGTTAGTTCGCTGTTTTCTTGTGTGCCCTGCCTGTCTAGGGCTATTGGACAATTTTAACTGTTTTAATTGTCGAGAGTTCTAACAAGCAACCACATTTTCCTTCCATCTTTTTTATATGTATAAACTTTCCGTCTTTTCTTGTCAGGTCTTCCATATCAAAGATAATGTTCTCTTCCAAATTTTTTTGCTGTTTTGGCTTGTAATTTAGTATTTTTATTTTTTATTTCGAAACTGTTTATTGTCGATTGCTGTCTACCTATCCCCATCTTGCTTCCGATAAAACTTAATTGTTATCGTGCAGCTCCGTTGAGCACCGTGGTGTGTATTTTCTTCCTCCTCTTACAGATATGCTTTCTTTGGCTGCTTTCACTGTACTTTTGCTGTGTTGGTTATAATTGGGGGGGGGGGGGTGGGGAAAGGGAGACTTTATGTTTTTTGCTCTTGATAGGTGCTATGTATTGATTTGTAAGATTTCAAAACATATTTGCTTCTGCTTTCTTCTAGTTCTAGCGGGCATGGAGTTTCTTTCATGGTTCTTATATTCACAATTTGAGATACAGGACAGTGGTCAGTTCCTGCCAGATGGTCATCAAGAAGCCGCCTGGTTCCAGCTGCAAGTGCATGTGTGGCGAAAGCCAGACCAGAGCTTATTGTTGTCCTCCATCGTCTTGAGTAGAAGACAGGAATGTCGTCTGCTTCATTGATCAGCTCTAGTCTAGTGTTTGTTAATACGTTTTGTCATCTGACACTCGGCTGACTGACTGACTGTCTAAACTATCAGGAAATCACACAAGCCATAAACACCCGATGACACAATGTGCCAAATGTGGATGAGGATCCCCGTGGAGAGGTCCCATGAACCGCGTTCAGCCTTTAGGCCATGTTTTTGGCCAGGCTATATTGCGGCCCCTGGCAAGAGCCAGATTAGGGCTTCAAAAAAAGAAAAAAAAAATGGCATCCTCAAATAGGACGGGAAGTATAGCATTATTGACGCTCGGCTTGTCATATCCCCTATTTTGCGAGCGGCCGTTGAAAAAATAAACTACAATACACTCTTTCTTTAAGTCTAATGGTATAGCAGTTCACTATCTGGAAGGCAGAAATAACTATAGATGGTTCATTTATGCTTCTCTGATGTGGGTTTAACACTAATAATTTTAGCTTCTTGACCTGTATCGATTCTAATCTACATGGCAGGAATGGAAGTTTTAATTAGGTTCGGCATAACATCCTTGTGTTTTCCCTCTCCGTCCATAATAAAGGATTTGTATCCCCTGATTTTAAAATTGTTTTTGGGATGTCAAGTGTGTCTCCTGCAGGTAGGCCACGTCGATCTTTTCTATGTATAATTTGTAGGTTAAGCTTTAATATTAATATTAGGAAAGAGGTTGGGACTGAATCGGTTTTAAATAACATTAAGAGACTATATATGACAATGGTTTGGACATGAGATGAGTCAAGACTTCCACCAGACAGTGCACCATAGAGAGATCAGTCACTTAGACATATTGGAAACAGAGCCGTAAGTCGACTACACAAGTATTGATAGATGGAATAGTCTAGTATCTACGTAGCACATACCAAGGTTCTCACCCGAAGCCTCTTTAAAACCTGACACTGAAAGACAGAACATGACTAGAAAGAAGAAGAAGAAGAAGAAAAAGAAGAAGAAGAAGAAGAAGAAGAAGAAGAAGAAGAAGAAGAAGAAGAAGAAGAAGAAGAAGAAGAAGAAGAGAGAAGAAGAAGAAGAAGAAGAAGAAGAAGAAGAAGAAGAAGAAGAAGAAGAAGAAGAAGAAGAAGAAGAAGAAAAAGAAGAAGAAGAAGAAGAAGAAGAAGAAGAAGACGACGAAGAAAAAGAAGACGAAGAAGAAGAAGAAGAAGAAGAAGAAGAAGAAGAAGAAGAAGAAGAAGAAGAAGAAGAAGAAGAAGAAGAAGAAGAAGAAGAAGAAGAAGAAGAAGAAGAAGAAGAAGAAGAAGAAGAAAAAGATGAAGAAGAAGAAGAAGAAGAAGAAGAAGAAGAAGAAGAAGAAGAAGAAGAAGACGACGACGAAGAAGATACAAACGGGCAAGGCAACAGCAGCTTTCAGTCTGAACAAAATATGAAACTTTAAATTGTAGTTGAAAAATGTTTTTTTTTTTTTAAATTCCAGTGTGATTTCATTTGTAACAGTAAAAGTTGGATACCCATCTGAGACATGGTTCGAAAGTTCAATGTACACCAAAACATGCTGAGGACATTGATCAACCACAAGTTCCTGAAATTCCAGACATGCAGAAATACGCGAAATGTCTGGGCAACGGCTTGAGTCCCCAAATAAATTAAAGTTGATGGTAATATTTTGGGCAAGTCTTCGCGTCCACCGGCTGTAAACTCCGGTGGAAACTTCTGGTTGTTCGTCCACCTCTGGGCTAAGTCCTGTTCCAGAGCCTAAGTATTGTGCGTACATCAATTTTACAGATCTGCCTTATTTGTATGCAGACTCCAATTATTCGACTCCTACGACATGCTTGTATGCAAGACAGTGCGTCTATTCTCGCCCCCCTCACAATAGGGCTCCTGAACCCACACGTTGAAAATAAGTTAGTTTAAATAACATCATAGATACTTACATCACAAATACTTACATCACAGATACTTAAATCACGGATACTCGAAACATCACAGAAGCTTACATCACAGATATTTAAAAAATCACAGATACAACATCACAGATACTTACAACACCACAGATACTTACAACATCACAGATACTTACAACAAAACATATACTTATAGCATCAGAGATACTTACAACATCACAGATACTTACAACATCACAGATACTTACAACATCACAGATACTTACAACAAAACAGATACTTACAACGTCACAGATACTCAAAACATCCCAGATAGTTACAACATCACAGATAGTTACATCACAGATACTTACAACAAAACAGATACTTACAACATCACAGATACTTACAACATCACAAATGGTTACAGCATCACAGATAATTGCATCACAGATACTAACAACATCACAGATACTTACACTAAAACAGATACTTACACCAAAACAGATACCTACAATATCACAAATACTTACAACATCATATATATTTACATCACAGATACTTACAACATCACAGATACTTATAACATTACAGATACAGCATCACAGATATTTACATCTCATATACTTACAACAAAAAGATATTTGCAACATCACAGATACTTACACCACAGATACTTACACTATCACAGATACACACATCACACATACTTACACCACAGATACTTACACTATCACAGATACATACATCACAGATACTTACACTATCACAGATACATACACCACAGATACTTACACTATCACAGATACATACATCACAGATACTTACACTATCACAGATACATACATCACAGATACTTACACCATCACAGATACATACATCACAGATACTTACACTATCACAGATACATACATCACAGATACTTACACTATCACAGATACATACATCACAGATACTTACACTATCACAGAAACATACATCACAGATACTTACACTATCACAGATACATACATCACAGATACTTACACTATCACAGATACATACATCACAGATACTTACACTATCACAGATACATACATCACAGATACTTACACAATCACAGATACTTACACCACAGATACTTACACTATCACAGATACATACACAACAGATACTTACACTATCATAAATACATACATCACAGATACTTACACTATCACAGATACATACATCACAGATACTTACACTATCACAGATACATACATCACAGATACTTACACTATCACAGATACATACATCACAGATACTTACACCACAGATACTTACACTATCACAGATACATACATCACAGATACTTACACTATCACAGATACATACATCACAGATACATACACCACAGATACTTACACTATCACAGATACATACATCACAGATACTTACACTATCACAGATACATACATCACAGATACTTACACCACAGATACTTACACTATCACAGATACATACATCACAGATACTTACACTATCACAGATACATACATCACAGATACATACACCACAGATACTTACACTATCACAGATACATACATCACAGATACTTACACCACAGATACTTACACTATCACAGATACATACATCACAGATACTTACACCACAGATACTTACACTATCACAGATACATACATCACAGATACTTTCAACATCACAGATACTTACATCATAGATACTTACAACATCACAGATACATACATCACAGATACTTTCAACATCACAGATACTTACATCATAGATGCTTACAACATTACAGATACTTACAACATCACATATACTTACAACATCACAGATACTTACAACATCACAGATACTTACAACACCACAGATACTTATATCACAGATACTTACATCACAGATACTTACATCACATATAATTACAACATCACATGTCCTTAAATCACAGATACTTACAACATCACATATACTTACAACATCACAGCTCCTTACATCACAGATACTTAGAAAATCACAGGTACTTAAATCACAGATACTTACAACATCACAGATAATTACAACATTACAGATACTTGCAACATTACAGATACTTGCAACCTCACAGATACTTACTGTGCGGCGTCTCCATTCCATGTTGAGCAAACTTTCGTATATTGTCGCGGTAAGCAAATTTTCCTCTAGCTCTACCAAAAGTATCACACACAGTAAACAACACTGCATCATAACTGTCTATGTTTTCTTCTTTCCCGAATTTGTTTTCTTTATAGAAAGCTGTTGTAGTTGGCTCAGATGTTGCTGCCGCGCCTCCTTCATCAAGTATTCTTGACATCTTCTGTACCTTTATGGAATGTTATTGTTATTTGTCTTGTTACTTAAAAAAAAAAAAAAAAAAACAACAACAGTTATGCACACTGCATTTAGACAATGGTCTCTAACCTTTATCAGCTCCTCCCCTTTCCCCTAACACACCCTTTTGGGTATATAGCAAGACCCCCAGGCCCCCTCAACATAACAAAATGTTATTAACCGAAAAGAGATGGTCAATAGATTCTCCAAAAAGGGTACCAGATAGCCTGGAGATAAAAAGTTAGTTGCGTATCCTTTACAGGACGTTGCAGAACCAACCATAACAGCCCCTGGCTGTTTTGTGGTTTCTCTTGGCAAATTTACGTCCAGTAGTTTGCCATTGCTTTCTGGACGGTCGGCTTTCTTGATACCACTGTCGAAACCAACGAAAGGCGCATTGCCTGCAACTGGGATCGATCCCGGCATTTCGAAGCGAAGCGTTTGCATCGATTTAGCCACAGAGCCGACAGCCTGGAGATACGTTGTGGTATTCTTAATTTATGAATGATGCAAACAAATTTTTTTTTTCTACTAATACAACAACTACAACTACTACAACTACTGCTGCTAAAACTACTACTGATACTACAACAACAACAGAAAAAAAAAAAAAAAAAAAAACCGCGACAACTACCAATACTGTTGCAGCTGCTGCTGCTACTGCTATAATATTACGAGGAAAAAAAATGGCAAAGAGAAAAACAAAAATAACAACTACTATTACTACAACAAAAATAAGTGCTCCTACAATTACTACAGCTGCGGTTGCTGCTAAACAACTGCCACCACTATTACTAGATCTACGACTACTACTGCTACTACTACGTCTACAAAAATAACAACAACAGCTACTACTACTTATACTAATACCACTAATACTACTACCACTACTACTACTACTACTACTACTACTACTACTACTACTACTACTACTACTACTACTACTACTACTACTACTACTACTACTGCTGCTGCTGCTACTACTACTACTACTACTATTACTACTACTACTACTACTACTACTACTACTACTACTACTACTACTACTACTACTACTACTACTACTACTACTACTACTACTACTTTTACTACTGCTACTACAGCAACAACAACAAGAACAACAATTGCTACCACTACTACTTCTACTACTACGAATACTAATTATACCACCACTTCTATAACAACAACAACTACAACTACTACTACTATTGCTGCTGCTATACTATTACCACAGAAACAACAATAAATACATCAACTACAATACAACAACAAATACATCGACTACAATACAACAACAAATACATCGATGACAATACAACAACGAATACTACTACTGTTGCTGTTTTACTACTGCCAATACTACTGCTACTACTACCACCACCACCACCACAACAACAACAACCACCACTACTACAACTGCTGCTGCTGCTGCTACTACTACTACTATTACTACTAATACTATTATTACTAATACCAATAAAAATTAATACGGCTACTGCTACTCCTTCTACTACTACAGCTACTATTACTAACACAACAAATGCTACAGCTATTAATACTAATACTTTTGCCACTGCTACAACAAAAACCACCACTACTACCACTACAAATACTACTGCTACTGCTGCTACAGTATTGCCACAACAACAAAAACAACAAAAACAACTACTACTTACTACTACTACTCCTCCTCCTACTAATACCACTAAGATAACAACAACAACATATACTACTACACTACAGGAAGAAAAAAAAAAACAACCACAGCAACGTAAACATCAACAACAACTGCCACTATTACTACAAAAATGACAACCCCAACAACAACAACATCAACAACAACAACTACTACTACTATTACTACTGCAACTATTATTACTACTATTAAATTAACTTCTACTACTACTACTACTACTACTACTACTACTACTACTACTACTACTACTACTACTACTACTACTACTACTACTACTACTACTACTACTACTACTACTACTACTACTACTACTACTACTACAAAAACAACAACAACTGCTACTAAAACAACAGCAACAACAACTACTACAAAAACAACTACTTCTACTGCTATTGAAAAAAAGAACAACAACTACAACAACAATAACTACTACTACCGCTGCTGCTACAACAACAGCAGCAGCAGCAACAACAACAATATATAATGCTACTACTGCTACTACTACAACCACAGCAACAACAACTACTACTATTACACAACAACATCAACAACAACTACTACTAAAAACAGCAACATCAGCAACAAATACTACTACTACAACTGCTTCTACTTTTACAACTTTAACAACAATAACGACAACAACAACTACGACTACTACTACAAAAACAACAACTACTAATTTTACTACAAAAACTACAACAACATCAACAACAACTACAACATCAACAACAACAACAACAACAACAACAACAACAACTACTACTACTAATACTATTACTATTACTTCTGCTGCTGCTACGACTACTAGTACAACTTCAGCTATCGCCAGCAGGCTGACGTTTTTGCTGTTGTTTTAAAAATGGCCAGCATTGCACAGTAAATATTGATAATCAATTGTTATTTATGTTACTGTTGCTTCTGCTGTTTCTGCTACTACTTCTACTTTAACTGTGGCTGCTACTACTGCAACTACTACTGCAACTACTACTGCAACTACTACTGCAACTACTACTGCAACTACTACTGCTACCACAACTATCACTACCGCTTAATAATCCCTGACCTAGCATATATATATATTCAAGACCAATTACTATTTATTTTAGTACTGCTCCTACTGCAGCTGCTATTACAACTACTATTTCTACTAGTATTACAACGACTGGTGTTTTATAACCCACAGAAGAAGAAAAAAACCCACACAAATGCAGCCTTTGAAACAAATTTCCCCACGAAAAAGCGAGGACTTCACACACAAATCAAATAATTCCTGAGACAGCTTTTGTCAGTGACACGATGACAGAACCTGCCACTTCACACTCAGTCCAAATCGCTGGTTCTCGTCTAAGGTATATTTAGAGCGGTGGAACGAAATATTGACAGCAGAGGCCTATGTTGCGTGACGGAGAATGGAGGCATAATTGCAATTTTTCACCTCTTTATAAGTATATAATAATATGTTGGGCTCAGTTGTTTATGAGTTGGCTTCCAGAACCAATGTTCGTCTTCTACATTCGCCTTTATAAACAACGGGTGGGAAAGCTGGGGGGGGGGGGGGGGGGAGGGCATTATGTGCTGTGATTTTCAACAAGCCTGAGATATCCGTGTCTTTTGACCTAACAAATACGATTTCAGCATTTTGAAACATACTTGTTAAATAGTCGTAGGTAAAACATTTCATTTCTATCGTGACTATTTTCCTTCTGTCTTCTGAAGACAGCTTCCATGTTTGACATTGACAGAATAGCATTTGTACAAATCAAAAAGGATGACTGAGAGGTAAAAACTGTATACACAAGGGAGATGAATGGTTGTAGACCACGAGGCTGACCAAGAAGACGATGGAGAGATAATGTCCAGACCTACAAACGCTTGGTGTCACCAACTGGAAAGAGAAGACTAAACATAGAGATGAGTGGAGGCGGGTGATATCTGCAGCAATGAACTTTAAGGGCTCAGAATGCTGAAAAAGAAGAAGAAGACACATAAAGAAGCTAAAGTCGGGAGATGTGAACCAGCATCATTGCACATGGTTATAAACCATAAGTGCTCTGCCACCAGTACACACAGCTAATAAGAAACTGTCGCATGTGTCGCCATCCGCACACAACTCCGTAGCTACAGCGACGTTCCTCCATTTACCCAAGAGTGTTAATTCTGGTACCCATTTCATAGAGGCTGGGTGAACCACGGAAACCGCCAGGTTTCGATCCCCGGCCGGGGGATGCAGCATGTCGCAGCTGGATAAGAAAGCGAGTCTCCTATCGACTGCGCAAACGCGGCCCCAGAAGTGGAATTCATATTTAACACCTTCTGTTTACGGACTTGCCAACTTTTTGTCTTTTGTAGAATGCAAACACGCACATCTATTTGATGCTGCTCATATTTTGATAGAATAGTCTACGGCTGAAAGCTTTCATTTTCCTATACAAAGAAAAGTGCAGGTACTGACCCCAATGTGTCTATATAGGTGCCGGTACTCGCAACAAAACGTCCATACAGTAGAACAGCGGTGAGCCGTGAATGTAATCGCTGATGACACTTTCCATTAACAAAGAAAAATGTATAATTTTACGATTTATTATTATTTACGCTTCATTACAAGTAGGTAACTCGGCTCAGGCTTGAACACAGAGAAAAGAACGCTGACTCTATGTTTGCTCCACTCGTGCAGAAACTCAACCGTGCTAAAACTACCAGTTGTTAGTACTAGATGCTAGCTGCGCACGCATACTCTCAACAGCGAAGAGGCAAGGAGAAAATATCACGTGATACCATACCCAGTGTGATTGTCCATATTCGTGATTACATATTCGTGTTGGTCACGCCTATTCACTGCAGTAGCATTTAAAACAATTATGTCTAAAATGCGTACGCTGCGTACCGTCAGAGAAACGCCCTGCTCCTGTTTCTCTAAATTCTCGTTTTCTCACTGTTACTTTAAGTCGATTCTTCTGTACAAAATTCTAGGCAGCAATCAATATAGTTCCGAAGCTAAATGTAGAGTGTGTTTGGTTACATTTAGTCGACTGCAAATCAAAGGAGACTTTTTCTGTGCACAAAACCACATTGTTTCTAGTACAGAGTCTGTAACATGACGTCTGTAAGCCGAATGGTTGCATATTTCCAGTGTTGTTAGTATATACTATACTTCATGCCTACGCATTTAACTAACGTGTAGGTACAAAACTAGGTTACCGGGTCACGTGTTTTAGATGTTGCATGTCTTCCTCATGGCGTGACAAACTAACCCTCGAAATTAATTTACTGCCGTGTAGTTTTACTAA